CTACTTTGGAGTTTCGTTCTTGGTTTAAACATTTGGGATCGTGAATTACAAATAGTTCGACAACTGTGCTTCGTAGGATCAACGGGCAAAAAACTGGACGTAACACGGATTTCGTAAGGATCGATCGTGTACTGACCAAATTGCTACATTACGGATCATTGTGGAACAATCAATTGAATGGAACTCACCACTATACATCAACTTCATCGACTACGAGAAAGCATTTGATAGCGTGGATAGAAAAACACTGTGGAGGCTTCTTCGACACTACGGTGTGACTGAGAAAATTGTCAACATCATACGGAATTCTTATGATGGATTCAACTGCAAAATCGTGCTGACAGCTGACAGACTCTTTTGAGGTGAAGACCGGCGTCAGGCAAGGTTGCTTACTCTCACCCTTTCTTTTTCTCCTGGTCATCGACTGGATTATGAAAACGTCAACACGGTATCAGCTGGACAGTTAGGACGCAGCTGGACGACCTGGACTTCGCAGATGACTTGGCTCTTCTATCGCACACGCAACAACAAATGCAAGAGAAGACGACCAGTGTAGCAGCAGCACCTGCAGCAGTAGGTCTCAACATACATAAAGGAAAAAGCAAAATTCTCCGATGCAACACAACATGTACCAACCAAATCACTCTTGATGGAGATGCCTTGGAGGACGTTACCACCTTTACATATCTGGGCAGCATTATCGACGAGAAAGGTGGATCCGATGCAGATGTGAGGGCGCGGATTGGCAAAGCAAGGGCTGCATTTCTACAGTTGAAAAATATCTGGAACTCCAAACAACTTTCAACAAAAACCAAAATCAGGATTTTCAATACAAATGTCAAGACAGTTCTACTGTATGGAGCGGAAACTTGGAGAACTACCAAAGCCATCATCCAGAAGATACAAGTGTTTATTAACAGTTGTATAAGCTAAATACTTTGGATTCGTTGGCCAGACACGATCAGCAACAACGTACTGTGGGAGAGAACAAACCAGATCCCAGCGGAGGAGGAAATCAGGAAGAAGCGGTGGAAGTGGATAGGACACACATTGCGGAAAGCACCTAACTGCGTCACGAGACAAGCCCTCACATGGAACCCTCAAGGCAAAAGGAAAAGAAGAAGGCCAAAGAATAAATTACGCCGAGAAATAGAGAAAGATATGAGAGGAATGAACAAACACTGGACAGAACTGGAGAGGGAAGCCCCGGACAGAGTTGGTTGGAGAAAACTGGTGGGCGGTCTATGCTCCATTGGGGATTGTTACGGGAGGAATGAAGACATTTTGCTGATCAAAACCTTTATATATAAATATCATTAATTTCACTGTTTTTTGGGTATATTTGTTTTACTTAACTTATGAACTTGTTTGAATTTTTATTTTCTGCCATTTTGGACTCCCGTTTCTCTTGGTTGTTCGTTTGCATTTTTTTGCTCCAAGAGCCAATAAAATAGAAGGTAATTGTAATTATTATAATTATTGTTGTTAGAACGACATTGGTCGTCTATTTGTAATAAAGTATTTTGGTCGAATTTGTGATTTGGAATAAACTTTGGTATCTACTTTGGAGTTTCGTTCTTATTCAATATTTGGGGATCGTGAATTGCAAATAGAGCGACAACCGTGCTTCTAAAGATCAACGAGCAAAAAGCTGGACGTAACAGGGATAACAGGCGTAAGTAAGTAAGTAAGATAGTATAGTTCTATGGGAACTACTAGGCTGGTTATCCCTCAACCTCGTCATGATTGTCACCTAAATAGGCAAAATTCTCTAAACTCAATGGCATTACTTACAGAGTTATGACATGCTTCTGGCTGTGGATACATGCTTAATGCTTGCAATCTCTCCATTCAATATAGGGAACTGCACTATTGACAATCATCCATCGATTCCAAAAGGTGGCAGATCTGCTGTTTGTGTTGGAATCAACATCATCTGCTTCATACTTACCTAATTTTTAGCCATATCACCTGACCGTTGTTGTGACTGATATTCAGCAAATCACGATTTTAAAAGCAATTTAAAATTGATAATACCGATCTAAAATGGCTTTGTTATCGAGTGTAAAAGCTGCTGTTGACTGCAACAATTCGACTTCGGTTGAACTTTTACAAAAAAGGAGCAAAGATAGGAGACTTACTTCGCTATCGGACAGAGCAGACTTACTAACAATTGAAAATTTGCTCGGCTGTAACTGGCTTGCCTTTCTGTGACATCCGAGTTGACAGAATAGTAAAAACATTCCGGCCTCATGACTTTTCTGCAAACATGAGGAATAGCGGTGAATTCATTTTCTTGATTTTTCTTTTTGAGGTCTGATTACGATAAATCACTTGTTTCTTTTGGTGGAAACTATCAACAGTTCGTAAGGTGTATATGCCACATCGAAAGGTTATTATACCGTTGAGACATCGTCCTGTAACTGCATATCTGTCATAACCAGCAGCCCTGCTGGGACTTATTGTCTACCTGAAATTGGCATGTGTAGGTGCGTCATATATAACAGAAAGTAGATTTAGAGGTATTCTGTTTTTGGAATGAATAACTGGTTATCCAACAAGTCTTCTTTTCGAAAATGATTTCTGTTAAAAAGTTGTTGGAATTTGTCGGCCTTCTTGTTCCCTTCAATGTTCTAAGTACGAACACATCGCTAATTATAGAGGCCACAACGAGACCTAATATGTGCCATTACTGTTCGTTTGCACTCCGAAGCAACGGTAGTCCATCCACATTTATTCGAAAATGCAATCAATCAAAATGAAAATGTTGCCAAATGTATCTTAGCATGTTGTTTTTAATCCAATACAGTGATGAACACCACTGTTATGCAATTTTGGTTTCAAATTTTGACATGTTCTTAACACTTGCAGAAAGCGCCAAGGATAATTCCAGCTTTCGCTACTTGAAATGTACTCGCGTACGATTCTAAGTTCTGAGACTCTAAAATCGAAAGGCATTTGATGCTGAAAGGCCTTGATGAGTGTTGCTACTGGATATTACAGCATTACAGGAACTTTCATTACAGACTACTTCCGACTGAATTGCTGACGCAGTAGGTTTGATGAACAAACTGTATTTATTGTTGTCTACATTTTCGGCTTCAAGCTGTTTATGCGGAAGCAATTGCATTTTTCTTAGAAATACACTTTTTATTATATTTCACCTTCCTTTGTAGTTGATCTATGACAACCGAGTATGTTAGACAACTTTGTGGTTGTTCTGTGTCCCTTAGTTTTCTCACTTGTAATAACAGAGCTCATCCGCTCTCGGTAAACAAGTTATTATTTATCTCAGACGTAACAGAAAGAAGGACTGTAGTGAACGATTTGCAATAAAGAAAGAGAATTAATTCATAATATTGAATGGATAAGTTTGTTATTTCTGCTAGTGTATCGGTAGCATTAATTACTTTCCATGGACGATCATCTGAAAAATTTTGTAGTGTATGTTCACGGAAATTTTTGTTAATTTACCATTTTCTGTTTGTTTTGGGAAAGGCGACATTTTTCATAAGTCCACGTAACCAGTGAATAAAAAGAGATGGTTCCGGAAAATTACCACAATCTTTCGCGAAATTTCCCCAAAGTTGGGAGATTCGAATGCCTTCCACTTTCCGAAAGGATCAATTACTCAAATAACCATTTTATGGCAACCACCTGGAGACCTATAAATGGTGGTCTAACAGTGACTGATTGATGATTTCAAATGTGCAGAAACAGTAATCTCCATAAGTCTAAATGAAAAAACTGTTTACTTTATTGCTTGGCAAGCTAATTCACGCCATTTCATGATACTTTACATACAGTTCAGTCGAATGGTGAGTAGTAGAGAAAGTTGAGTCGCGATACTGTTTTCTGAGTAAGGTCATCTCAGTACCCCCATTCTGACGTAACGCAAGTTCATCATTTCGAGTGTTGCCAGCTTCCAAGTAACAGGCTACACACTTGCTACTAGAGAGCCTATACTTCGAATTGCTTACATCGGTGACAAAGAAGTCCTTGTGAGGTGTATCCTTCATATATTCAACCACATTACCCACGGTTAATTTTTTACTGCAGTAACGTAGATATTTTCTTATAAGAATACAGTTTTCAATCTAACGGATAACAAACTACAAAGTTTTTCGAACGCGAATTGTAGTAAAGCATTTTAAAAAAATCATAAGCTCGCTATCACGTAAAGCGACTCTAAGTGTCGACCAAAAACTAAGGTACTAGGACCGACTGAACTGCACGTAATCTAACGACTTCAAGGTTTAGCAATGAGACTAACACTCTATGACTAACGCCAAACGTACACCTAGAAAATAAGAATTTAAATTTCCAGGACTCACCATGAATTTTTCACTCATTAGCTGAATGTATTGATTATACGTTGTCTGCTCTTAAACCTTGTAAGCTTTAATCGACATTGAAAAGGAACTCGTAGGCTAACTGAAACCATCATCGGACAACACGATGGATTACCATGGGTGGAAAAGATTGAAAAACAACAGAATAAATTTGTTTGGCTACAAAACGTAAAACAATACTCGGTTATGGTAGACGATATACCGTAAGAATGCCTTTCCATGGTATCCAGCATTTTCAAAATCCCAATGTACTGGAAAAGCTGGATGGTCTGAATACAACTCAAACACTCTGAACTGTTGTAACATACAGGCTTTGGTAAAGCTTGAGGATACAATGAATCTAGGAGATTGTGAGGAAGGCTGAGATTATCAAGAAGATATAATTAACAAGATAGAATGTTATGCAATAACTCAGTATACATATCAAATGCACTTACTTTTGTTAAAGAAGGATATCGAGAAAAATTGGAAACTTCATTACCAAAGGACCGAAACCGTACTGAAAGAACGAGAGTTGAGCTCAAAATATTCAGTCGGTTTGAACTAGCTGGCGAAAACGATATTGGACATATTGGACAACGGTGATGTATTATTCATTCAAAAGTCTACGCTACCAACTCCCAATTTCGACTTTTTAGTTTGTCTTAGTCTCATGTGTGTATCGTTTCCGATGTTTGTCGATTACCTTCTTTAACAAAGGTAAGTGTATTTGTTATGTTTACTGAGTTTTTGATTGTCCTTTCTCTTCTGTGTGTTTATTTTACTACATTATCGCTCTTCATACTCTAGGTCTAAGGCTTTTGAAGCTAGACACAAACCTCGCAGGACCCAGACCTTACTTGTGACCTTTAGTTTGTTCTCTCCTATTTTGTGTCATCTTGAACTGCTTTTGAGCATCGTTGGCGTAGATAATTTCTACATTTTCACACTAAAGTTTCATGTCTTAGTCATAATAACTACTTTGAGTTATAATGTTGCTACATTTAATCTCAAATTGAAATGATCCACAAACCCGCATATATCCGGTGATATTCGTATCTTTCCTGTACATTGGATCTGTGCATGCGACAAATATAACCACATATAGCGGCCCACTGCCGAAGCTAATCAACTACGTGATAATATCATGCTGTTCCATACTTGCTTTGGAATCATAGTTTCTGCGAAATGGTGTACTGTGTACCTATGAGATTGATGACTGGTATTGTAGACAATTTAGTTATTGTGAACTTGAGTTGTTCTAGCAGTTCTTTATGAAGTCAATGGAATGCGTATAACGAACAGGATAACAATAGCCGTGATTATAGCCACTCATCAACGATACAGCAACTACGCATAGTTGCTTGTCTTTCTGCAATTTTCGTTGGCTGTCTCGGTAAGCAACAACGTAGAACCTGATACGTAAATACATTAGTTCATATTTCCTTACCCCATTGGCACAGATGGGATTGTCAACTTAAATCCCATAATTGTAGAGTGGTAGCTAAGCTTCGATATCAAAATTGTGTTCACTTGTTAGTTTTAATCAAGGGACTGTCCCTTTAGTATGAGCAAACTAAAAGTAGTCATTGGATAGTCGGAATTATCTCATTGAATTATACCTGTACAGTGTGTGCATTTTAAAAAGTGCATAATCGCAACCAGACTTCATAGCAACCTGTAACTTACCATTTGTATATATATATATATATATATATATATATGACTGTACAACTCCGAAAAAAAAATTCTTCGCGTAGTTCTTCGCTGAAGTGATTGTAATGTTATTCTTGCACAGAGACGCAGATGACAAATCAAATCCCATTGTGATAAAGATAGTAGAGGTATTAGTGGTAATGAAGAAGACTGGGGTTTGAATATATTATTCGAGAAGTATAATTCAGTGAGATAAGGTTAGAAAGACAAAGGTGGAAGCGCTGGCGATTCCAGAAGATTAGGATTTGAGAGAGCTCAACGAATGGATGCACCTGCGCCATTGCAAACGATTTTGAGCCATGTCGTTCAAGGTGTCTAACCATCGATTACTATCATCTCGTGGGCCCCAACCAGGTAGTCTACATCTACCAACATGACTCAGTCCACTTGTCAGAGACTTCATGGATTTGTGCCATGTTTTGGTCTGGCCACCCCTAGCTTTCTTCCAACCTACTCCTACGCCACAAAACATAGCTCGTCGAGGCAGTCGGTGGTTAGGCATACGTAACACATGTCCCAACCACCTCAACTGATGAAGTTTCACCACTTCATCTATTGGTCTGCCATCCTTACCTAGTACTCGTTTCCTAACTATAGCATTGCTTACTCGGTTGTCCCACGATATACGAGCAATGCTTCGGAGACATCTATGATCCAATACTAGTAACCTACGAACATCTACTCTTAACGGCCATGTTTCGCATCCATATAGGAGAACGGAACGAACTGCTGCGCAGTACACCCGTCCTTTGGTTAGCAAACGGATATCTCGCCTACGCCATAAACGGCGTAAATCGCAAAAGCCAATCGAGCTTTCTGTATCCGTGCTGAGATTACTTAGGACTACGGCTAGCATCAACCGAAGTACATCATATTAGATGGTGCTCTAAGTTTACTTGCATATATGAATACGAAGCGTAAACCGTGTTGTTTCTCTATCTGCACAAGGTGAAATCAAACTGATGATTTTACTCGAATCTGGTATGCGCGTTTCGGAGACGCAACATACATCGATTGCTTGGGATTCCTGAGTTCTAGCTAATGAAGCCTGTTGCCCTATTTGGCACGAGGTTCGAACATTGAAAGCTCCAATATGTAATTTAGTACGGGGTTTCAGGAGACCAGGAGTAATGTTTCGTGACCTCAAACCGTTTGCTTCAGCGGCACTAGGTGACAGTCGACCAAAGGAAGGGTTCGTTGAGATGAGAGAGTTATTAGGTGTAGAGAGGATTTGGTTCTGATCGATTTGGTCTCGTGTGCTTTTACTGGTATGAGGGTGGATGTTGCTTCCGCGCTGCCCACACCGTGGAAGGTTTCTGGTTGTCAGAAGTGTCATCGGCCTCGTGACATCCGGAGGGACTCGGCTTTCATCATGAGACGTCATAACTCTTATGCAAGAAGACCTAACTCCCAGGGCAGAGTTTAAATGGTTTGAATTATGTTTTCTGGTTAGTGTTTTTAGCGAGTTAGTCACAAAATCCAACCCTCCTCCGTTAACCGGACTTGGGACCGGGAGTAGCCCTGTAGGGTCTACAGGCGAACCGAGCCATGTTAGTAGATATAGACTACATGGTTCAGGCCTACGAGACAACCGTAACCGGTGGGTAGGGACTTTTGATGAAACGACTCAAAATTGTCTGTAGTGGCAGAGATGGATCTGTTTAATTGTCTTCTCTAAAACTCTAATCTAATTCCTCATGACATTTTTTCTCTTTTTGAGTTTGTTTCACTGGGATATGCTTTTCGAATCATATCTTCGATCCCTAATCTTTATGATTATTGTTAATACTGCTAAAATCTCTACTACTACAGTAATTGGATTGACAAAATCCATCTCGCTGTGCTAATACAGCATGACAACTTGAACTGATGTACGTACGTACGAAGTCCTACATTGCTACTCAGTCAGTCAGTCAGTTGCAACGTAGAACTTCGTACGTATGTACATAAGTTCATGTTGCCATACCACATTATTAGCACAGAAACGCAAATGTCAAATCAAATCCCATGGTGATACAGATAGTAGAGGTATTAATGTTAATAAAGAAGACTAGGGTTTGAAGATATTATTCAAAAAAATATAATTCAGTGATATAAGGTTAGAAAGACAAAGGTAGAGGTGCTGGCTAATCCAGAAGATTAGGATTTGAGAGAGCTCAAAGAGTGGATGCACCTGCGCCATTGCAAACGATTTTGAGCCATGTCGTTCAAGGTCTCTAACCATTGATGACTTTCGTCTCGCGGACCCCAACCAGGTAGTCTACATCTACCAACATGACTCAGTCCACTTGTCAGAGACTTCATGGATTTGTGCCATGTTTTGGTCTGGCCACCCCTAGCTTTCTTCCAACCTACTCCTACGCCACAAAACATAGCTCGTCGAGGCAGTCGGTGGTTAGGCATACGTAACACATGTCCCAACCACCTCAACTGATGAAGTTTCACCACTTCATCTATTGGTCTGCCATCCTTACCTAGTACTCGTTTCCTAACTATAGCATTGCTTACTCGGTTGTCCCACGATATACGAGCAATGCTTCGGAGACATCTATGATCCAATACTAGTAACCTACGAACATCTACTCTTAACGGCCATGTTTCGCATCCATATAGGAGAACGGAACGAACTGCTGCGCAGTACACCCGTCCTTTGGTTAGCGAACGGATATCACGCCTACGCCATAAGTGACGCAGGTTCGCAAAGGCCAATCGAGCTTTCTGTATCCGAGCTGAGATTTCGTCAGTCACCAGACCGTCAGCACTGATGAGACTCCCAAGATAAGTGAAGTTATCAACACGCTCGACTACTTCACTCCCTATCATTAGTTCAGGTGCCGATGCAACCCAGTCTTGAAGCAACATTTTGCATTCGAAGGGGGAAAACCGCATCCCGAACATGCTCGCATTGTTGCTTATGGTAGTCAGAAGACTCTGCATTTTGTCAGCGTCTTCACGGAATAGAACTATGTCATCGGCATATTCTAGATCAGTAAGCGACTTTCCTGGTAGAAGGTCAACCCCTGAAAAATCTGACGAGCCTAATGTTAACTCTAAGAGGATGTCTACGACAAAGTTGAACAAGAATGGAGAGAAAGGACATACCTGACGGACACCACTTGATGTAGAGAATTCAGATGACAGTTCGCCATATGCTCTCACCCGACCAGTGGTGTTCGAGTAGAGTGCTTGTATAAGGTTAATGTACTTCTTTGGTACACCTTTCAATGACAGACACTGCCACAGAACCTCACGATCCACTGAGTCGAATGCCGCCTTAAGGTCCAGGAACACGACTATTGTCGGACGTCTAAATTTGTGTCTGTGTTCCAGGACCTGTCGTAGTGTGAAGATGTGGTCTATACAACCACGTCCAGGTCGAAAACCAGCCTGGTTTTCTCGAGTCTGCTCTTCACGAGCTCTAGTTAGACGTCTAAGTATAATCGAGGCTAACAATTTAGAAACTATATTAGTTAAACTTATTCCCCTGTGATTGTCACAAGAGGACTTCTGTCCTTTCTTGTAGATTGGGACAATTAACGACTGAGACCAGTCAGATGGGATTACGTCCAGTTCCCAGATTCTACCTAGGATCTCGGTCAGTCTAACCGTTAAAACTGGACCACCATCCTTAAACATCTCAGGGGTAAGCGTATCAGGACCTGCCGCTCTGCCTCTCCTTAGATTTCCTATAGCTTTCTCAACTTCATGTAAACTGGGAGGACTTAAATCGATTTGCCATTCAGGATGACTGGAGATCGTGGGTACCCGAAGTGTGGCTGAAGGCCAGTTGAACTGATCCCTAAAGTGTTCTGCCCATCGGTCCAGCCTCCTAGATTGAGAATGGATAATAAGACCATCCTTTTCCGAGATAGTCTCACTCACATTCGGGTTCCTAATACCGGTTTCTTTGATAAGGCGGAAAAGTTGTCTAGTGTTGCCTATCGCCGCTGCCTTTTCCATCGCTTTTGCTTTCGCCACCCACCACTGTTCACGGTCGTTAGTTGACTTTTTATAAGTCTGCGCCTAAGCTGACTACGCTCTTCATTATGTGCAGAGTCATGTGGGGTGCGTTTTCGAGCATCCATCAGTTCGGTGGATGCGACTGATATCCACGGCTTCATCCTAGCCTTGTGGTTTGCCTTGCTAGCAGATACCATTGCTGTTTGCACAGCCTTCTTGATATGATTCCAACCTGCTTCAGGATGGGAATCACTCTCATGGCCGCCTAACTGTTTTTCTAGTTCCTCCTGAAATATTTTCTTAGCTTGATTATCATCAAGTGAAGCCCTAAGAGGCTTCCTTACGGTGTCTTTCCTACGTCCAGCAAGCCTCAAACAAATACGTGCTCGCACTAGGGCATGATCTGAATCTAAACATGTGCCCCAGAACGAGCGACAGTCCTCTATCGAACCCCTCCATCGGTGGCTGATGGCGATATGATCTAGTTGTGTCCAACGTTGAGATGACTTCGGGGGTCGCCAGGTCAAAAGGTGTTTTTCCTTATGCTTAAAATTAGTGTTTGCTAGAAATAGTTTGTTATCTGAGCACAGTTGCAACAGACGGTCGCCATTGTCTGTTCTTTGAGCCGCGAGACCGTAACATCCACCTAGGTGTCTTTCATTTCCACTCAGTCTACCTACTTGTGCATTGAAGTCACCAGCCATTATAACTATATCAGAGCGCTTAACTTTTTGGAGGAGGTCCGAAAGCTTTCTGTAAAACTCATCTTTTACATCATCTGGGCTGTAGTCAGTGGGGGCGTAGGCTGATATGACGAAGAGGCAACGGCGAGTGTCCCTATCTTTCCGAGTCCTTATTGTCCCGTTGAGTCGGACGGCGCACAAGCGACTATCTACAGGGATCCAGTCAAGGAGAGATTGTTCTGCCCTACGACTCAATGCTATACCTACACCGGCGAGGCCCCTAGAAGCAGCATCAGGGCTACCGCATACACGAAGGGTAAATCGAGCTGTTTCTTTATCTTGACATGGTGAGGTCAAATGAGTGATGCTACTCGGATCCTGTATGCGCGTTTCCGAGACGCAGCACACATCGATGGCACGAGTTTCTAAAGTCCTAGCTAATGATGCCTGTTGCCCCATTTGACACAATGTCCGTACATTGGATGCTCCAACATGTAGTCTAGAGCGAGGTTTAAGGAGACCAGGAACGACGTTTCGCAAACTCGCATCGTTTGCATTAGCTGTGCACTGTAATAAATGAATGTGAGAAGAGTTAGTTGTGGAGATAAGAGAGGTATTAGGGGGTGTAGGAAGGATTTGGTTTTGAACAATTTGGTCTCGTGTGCTGTTACGGGTATGAGGGCGGTTATCACTTCCCGGCTGCCCACACCGTGGAAGGTTGTTTCTTGAGGGACCTGAAAAGGAAGATGGATTAGTGTTGGTGCGTGACCGCAGAGTCCAAGGGACAACTGCTTGAGGCCGGTCACGCACGGCCTTTTTATGAGAGGTATTTAGAGGATTAGCTCCGTTCTTAAAGGCCCTTAGTGGGCACCCTTACCCAAGGAGACGGAAATCCGTGAGGTAGGGGAGGTGTGACATTTTTAGGGCCGACCTTTTCTAACCCTTCCTTCCTTGTGAGAAGGCAGCATCGCTGCAGATGCTGGTTGTCCGAGGGAAACACCTTACTGCTGTCACGCCCCTCTGCAGTCAGCAGTACGACTTCGCCCTCAGACCTTGGGTAGCTGCTTTTAGTCTCATCGTTCTCCAATCGACCTGCCTGGCATGGTAGGACCTGCAGGAACATGTGTTCCAGCCAGTATAGCTCTGTTGGGTCATCACGATAGGCAAGCCCGACCACCACGTCAAGGTAGCAGCTTCGGTCGGGACATTGCTACTCACTTACTGACAATAACAAAGTAACCAGTTCGTAATTTCTAGAATTTTCAAGACCCCATGCATCATCTCTTATCACGCTAACCAACATTGAACACTAATCTCTTTCCTTAATAGATAGACAGTTCTTGACGTATTGGATGGATATGTTTTCATGGTTGTATGAATTTTAGTGGTGTGTACGTATGCTATTAATGATATATTAAATAGTGTTGTGACATGTTCGAATTTTCAACTTCGGCTGAGGTTAGCGAGTATTATTGATTCAAGGTATACCTAGTCAGCCAACGTATTCAACTTTATTCTGGATATAAGTAAAAATTATCGCCATTACAATGTTCCCATAATTTCTTATGTACTGAAAATGCACTTATTTGTCTGCATTTCTCAGTAGTTTCCGAAATGTCTAGTCGGTTATTGACAGGTGGAGAATGCCCCCAGGGTGTCTTGGATGTTGTTGAAGGTGCTATTGGTTATCTTGCTTTATCGGTTGGATATACATCTATTGAATATGCAGCATTGAGAGTGCTTTCAAATCTTTTCTTTTCTTGTAAGTTTGGTTTTGTCTGTGACATAGATTTGAGTCCTGTGTTTTTGTTGCCTTAATCGGTTTTAATTGTTTTTTTGTACTCATATGTTTATATTATAAATTTTTAAATGTAAAATATAGTTTCTTTGTGTTAATTGATTTAGTTAATTGAACTAAAAATACTTTGTGTTTTTGTGCAAGATAGAGTAATACCACCGAGATCGGTTGATTTCTGGATAACACTGAAAACTTACTATTTTACAGGAGCCGTTGCCAGAAGGCTTACATTGTTGACACTCCAAAAATCTAGTCGCCGATATCATGGATTAGTGTAATAACTTCCTTTGTTCTTCATAATCATAATTGAATATCTAGTCAGCTTGAGACTAAGTAATATATACATTTCTCTGTTCCATACTGTATATAGTGTTTTTCACTTAAGGTGTAAATACTAGTAACACAACTATCTAAATTTTTTAGATTTTAATTGTTCGTCTGTTGCTGGTCTTGATACTTTATGTTCTGATTATTCGCTTTGTCCAATACTAAATTTGTGATATTAAAAAGGATTTTCAGTGATTATTAGAAATGTAATTTGTTACAATGCATACAATAGGTCTTAATTGTACGAATTCAATAACTTAAGTATATTTATCCAGTAAGTTATTCACCAAATATTTGATGCAAGTTTGAAATGCTCAAACAGGTAATGGTCAATCAATAAATAGACTGAAACTATGTAATTCAGGTTCATTGATAAACTGGCTAAGATAAACTGCAGTAAACTGAACATTACGTTGATATCTAAGGGTAGTATTCTAGCTTAAAGTAACTAGGCAAATATGTTTTAAAGCCATATATATATGATTAGCTTCACAGTGATTTCATTTTCAACAAAATTATTCATTTTCTCTAGTTACAGAAGACCTAGCTGTTTCCTCACTAATGAATGCTGAAAGCAGTGGGAGAACTTCAATCCTTTTGAGTGATATTGTGCTTGGATTAATAGATTTGGGATTTGATGTTTCAGGTCTTAATGAAATTCCCCGTAAACGCATGTATAGAGGATGTAAAGAACGTATGTTAAAAATTTTTTTCGCCAACTTATAAAGCCAATCCCTTTATGTATAAAGTTTGTCACTACCTAGATTTATTTCCTCGATACTTATTCAGGTCATTATTTCTTATTAATTTTCTGTGGTCAAAAATCAAATTGATTGGTATTAAAAAGCAGTTTGCCGTTGACTTTAGAGTTAATACTTTCAAGTATTTAGTATAGCCAGGAAAATCTGTTATGCTTACCGAGATATTTCAAGTCTGAAAACTGTTCACCCAAGAAAACTCTATTTTCACGGACTGAATTTCGAAATAAATTGATTTGTACAAGTAAAACATTTAGGAGGTAAATGTCTCATAAAAATCAGCATTCTTATGAGTGCAAAATATCTTTTATTTTCATGAAAAGAATAATGGTTCACATAACATCTGAAATTATTTCGGAGCCATTGCCATATTCTATTCTACATCTGATCTTTAAAAAATATTGCACATGTGATCAAGTAGTTTTACTTTGGTTACTACTTGCTGTTGTGATTCGTTGGCTGATAGGTTCATATTTCCCGAATAAATAAATAACGAATAGTCTCATTGAGATTTTATTTGAAATAATGGTTAAAGTAAAAATACTTTTGCCATCTTAGTATAGAACGCATATTCACACTATGTCAGGTCCTAGAACAAAGGCACTCGTTTCAACGCCCCACAATAGTAGTATTTCTCGACTTTAAAGCGGCATTCGACTCTGTCGATCGCGAGGTTCTGTGGCAGTATCTGTCATTAAGAGGTGTACCAAAGAAGTACATTAACCTTATGCAGCCTCTGTACTCGAACACTACAGGTCGAGTTAGAGCTTTCAGGTGTTGACCTACCAAGAGACTTAGAATATGTTGATGACGTAGTTTTATTCGGTGAAGACGCTGACAAGATGCAGAGTCTTCTGACTACCCTAAGCAACAATGCAAGCATGTTCAGGATGCGTTTCTCCCCATCGAAATGCAAAATGTTGCTTCAAGACTGGGTCTCATCGTCACCTGAACTAGTGATAAGGAGTGTGTGTCGAGTGTGTTGACTGCTTCACTTATCTGGGTAGTCTCATCAGTGCTGAGACCCTGAATGTCATGGCTCAAAATCGTTTGCAATGGCGCAGATGCATTCATTCTTTGTGTTCTCTCAAATTCTAATTTTCTGAATTCCTCATCACCTTCATCTTCTTTTTAAGTTTATTTCACTAGATTCTACTTCTTGAATAATATCTTCGAACCCTAATTTTCTTTATTACAAGTAATACTTGTACTATCTCTACCACTATCGGATTGGAACTGACAGTTGCGTCTCTGTGCTTATGTGGTATGGCAACATGAACTAATGTACTTACGTACGAAGTTCTATGTTGTAACTGACTGATTGACTGATCTGAGTTTTCAGAGATTTACGGTTTAATTAACAATGCAAGTATGTTTTATATTGGTTCGTTTCAAACCAAGTGCGAAATTCTACTTCAGGACTGATCTGTGTATTGAAATCCAGAAGAGATGTGAGAGCAGACAATCAAAAACCGTGTATTGCAAGTTCAAGTCTGGAGATTATATGTACATATTTTATAAATAAACTGTCTTCGTGTATATTTGTATAAATTCTATCTGTTCTTGACTTCTTCGTACGCTATGCTGTCCTTTGTACTTGTTTTTCTGTAGAATAAAAATATTCGTAATGCCTAAAACATTTCAATTTTAGCATTTGTCCATACAAATGTTTAGATTTTCAAACGGTTTTTATTGGTCTCTGTTCTTTTTTTCGTTCAGCTGTCAGTATCGGAAGTTCCCCCAAAAAAGGTGTGGTATGTGCTGCAGTCTTGGGTCCAGGAGGAACAACAATTATTCCTCGACCGTTGTCACTACGTCCTAATTGGTCTGGAAATCCACGTTTTGGTGGGATAGGAACTACATCTTCGTTAAACACAGGTGTAAGCCAAGGTATTTCAGATCAGTCACCATATTCTTTGCCACCTCCTGCTCCTGCTCATTTACAACTTCCTATATTGCCGGAACCGCACACGTTTATGGAAACACGTGTTAGACGAGCTCCGATTGCTTCTGACCCCTCTTCATTACGCCGCCGCGTCGTTGAACAACGTCGTAAAGTTCAGCAGTCATTAATTCGGTTCCTGGGTCGCGTCCAACCCGTCCAATATCTTTTTCCGGGTGATGCTGAGTCATTCATGTGTATGCTATCTCGTTTAATCAAGTTTGTTTTTCTAATCCTTCGTATACTTCCTAGTCACGTTACCTATGATGATAATCTTTTTTCACGAATTAAAAAATGTTACTATTGAGATGTAGATAAATAGAAAACAATATTAGTTTTTAGCCATATTCCACATAAAAACTGAAACGAAATATTATTACATTTAGGAGTATTTCAACAATAATTTAGATCATATTTGCTAGTTAGTTTAGCTTACTTTTCTTTGAAGTCAAATGATCAATTCAAATTAGTTTTGAACACTTATTTCTTCTGTTGTAATACTGATCTTGAAAGATTAGATCTAAGTGATGAATCATTTGAAAGTAAACAATTTTGAAATAGTCAACCAGCTTTGTAATGAATAATGGGCGTACACTTGTTAATAATTTACAACATTTACACATTTAGCAAATTTTCTTTTTAGTAATATATTTTGAAGTTCATTTTTATATGTTATTATAATCATAAGATCATTTTGGACAGATCATTTTTTTCTCTTTTCATATTTTTATGGTATTAACAAACCAAAACAATGTACAGTGATCACTCCAAAAGAATCACCTCGTCCATATTTATCAGCTCTGCTTGCTAGCGTACCCAACGATTGTGATATGAAGATAATGTCAATGTCAGGTAACAAAGATGAACAAAATCTTGTGAAATCTAAGTCAAATGCTACTTTAAATAGTAATCACAATCAATCTCCAGAATCAAAAAATCCATTCTTACTAAAACCGAAATTTCCTGAATACTGACTAACACTATAATTAGTTATAGATTTTGTACATATTTTAATATTTTGAGATAAACATGTATACTAAGTTCTCTGTTATTTTTAACAATTGAATTTGTTTTTTTCGAGAAAAATTAGATTTGGAAGAGTGGTTGGAATTTTTTTTAGAGATCATACAACTCGTTTGATCGATTGATTCATGCAACAAAAGTTGATGAACAAAAGAAAAATTATTAGATGGCTAAAGATAATTCGGTCAAAAGGTATATTAGGAAGTGATATCGTTATCCACCTTGGGCAATGAACGATGGTTGCGCAGTATCGTGAATTAACCAAAGGTATTGATTAGGTGCCACGTCAGTGATTTAGAGAGACTAAATGTTCTGAGTTTGATCACCGTTGGCAGAGTCCATAGATGTGCATTCCCAAGTCCAATGATAGGGCGAAACAGCTGATCATCACTTCCAGGTTTTCAATGGTGGTCAAGCTATAATCGTTTGATGATATAAACTATGTAAAAAATGTTCTTGAATTGATCTTGGTCAGATTTTACTCATTTTCAGTGGTATATATATGTATATGGAATCAATGAAAATGATGCAGATTACTCAATTACTCACCATAAATAAGAAGTAAACATTGTCAGTCGGATGGCTGACATAGTAGTATTAAAAACAGAGTGAGTTGGTAGGTAGGAAAGTTAGGTTGAATTCAAAAGAACAAACTTACTAAAACAGCTTGCTACTACGTATCTAATTAGTCCCTTTGTGCTATATCCGGCGGAAGACTAGAGAAATGATAACTCCTAGGACTTATCGATTATTATTATATATATAGTCTCGTACAAATATTAAATAGCTAGATTATAACATATTTATATTTTTTTGTCGTAAGCTCTTCATTAACCCATCAGCTAATTTTGCAATAGGCACTATTCCTAACCTTTTGCCGGTTCATCATTCACAGACTCTCCTATTTACAGCCAGTTTTGACCTGCCCAAGTGTGAATGTGTTTTGCCAACCTATAGTGTGATGTGGTTTGGCATGTTTTGTATATGAACTATGTCTGCTTGATACAGCGATTTTGTGGATGCTGGCTGCAGACTTCTGAAATTAGAGGGAGGGTAGAAAGAAAAAAGCTATCGAATTATGGACCAATAAAAATTTGGGAGTGACTCAAGGTTTGTATTTGTCACGTGATATTGGACAGCGGTTAGAGATATAATGAGTTGGATATACAAGTAGGTAACAGGCGATACAATTGAACGAATATAAGCAAACAATGGATGAAGATAATCATTAAAATCGTCCTTAGCTAAGAAAAGAACAGTGGTATTATGAACTTCTGAGCACAAAGCTACTAAATTTCAATAGCTTGGGAATGACTGATATCACAAGGATACTACTGATGAGAGACAACTGACCGTTATTCTAAAAGATTGTTGATGTTGTAGAACTATTAGTTGCAAGGTTTTTTAAATAATACATTGGATTGTATACGGTTACCTTAGTGCCTATGTCAAAATAATAAAAGACAAATTAAAGTTGTTTATTGTTAGGGACGATTTCGAACAACGTAATCGATTATCTGAAATAAATTTAGGCTCTAAATCAACTGGGCCCGGTCGACAATAAAAATAACACGTCAATTTTAATTGTTAATAAGTTGAATTCGAGATTTATGTAGTAACTGTTATTAATAAAACAATTACGTAGAAAATATAATGAGTTTTTCAGTGTCAAAATGTATTTACCTACATTTAAACACTTTAGGACTTCAATACTTGTATACATTTCTAGTCTACTGTTAAACGAGTTAAATATTTTGTTGACTGATTTAAGTGATAAATCCTGCTGTACAGAGTTTGTAGCTCTTCAACCGATTGTAGAAATTTATTCAGAACACTTTTCATGCATGATTCCCACGTTTCAAATTCATATTGTACTAGTGAACTTGTCTTATATGATTCTGGTTTTTGTTGTGGTAATTGTTCTTCTTGGTCAACCACATCTAGTGGTTCCTTTTGATTGTCAGACTTTTCAATCTAAAATTCAAAGAAATAAATTTATAAATTTTTTCATCAATGACTATCATCAGGTGAAAATGTAGAAGAGAAGTGGATAGCCGTTTTATTCCCCTATAGTAACTGTTTGAAAATACATACTGTAGCCATTATCTATTGTCATCCGTGAGGTTGGTCTCAGACAATTTTCAAATTATGTAAAGTTGTCATAATCACTATGGTTAGTAAAAGCCATGTGCTTTAAGACGGATTTCATAAGTCCTAACTGAAAGTCATAAGTTATGAAGCTAACTAATTAGGAGGTGTGATTTACTGATGACATTGGATGGTGGTCGTTTGATTGGAATTGAGCATATGAACCACTGGCTTCTAATGCGATTGGTTAATTATATCATACCCGCCCCTTGGATTGTTGCTATCGTACCCACAAAATCAACTGCATACAAACTTTGTTCAAGTGAGTGAATACACACTGCAGCATATATGAAGCATTAAAAAACGAGGAAAAGCATCTTATGACCATCTTCTAGAAGAACGGCTATCCACGCAACTTCATCAAAAAACATCAACTGAAATCATTAACAGAAGCGAAAGCGAGGAACCAATAGACGGATCGTCCTACCATACATAAAAGACATATCGGAGCATACAGCACGACTACTGAAACCATTTGGAATAGGTGTGGCACACAAACCAACAGAATCACTTCAATCAATCCTATGTAGACCAAAGGACAAAATGACAAATGAACAAAAACCAAATATCATCTACAAAGTAAAATTGCTCAGACTGAAAAACACTACATAGGACAAAGTGGACAGCCTCTTCAGCTTCTTTTACGTGAACACCAATTAGCAGTTAAACGCAACGACAATTCTTCGCTTATATCAATACACACTGACAACTATGGACACACATTCGATTGGAACAGTGTGGAAATACAGCATAGAAGGAGCACATCACTAGAGAATTTTTAGAAGCTTGGCACTCAGGTCAATCAGCAATTAACAAACACATCGACATTGACCCAATTTATCAACCAATCGGAAAAATCATAGGCGACATAGAATCAAGAAACAGATCAAAAGGGGGGATACAATCAAAACAAAGGTGCAAACAACGACAGACAAGGTCAACAGCAACCAATTAAGATCGAGATTAACAGAACAAACTACAGGTCGAACGTGGAGAAATTCGAATGCTTCACTTCCATCTGAAGCTTGTGCTGATGATGTTTTTCAGAAGAACAGCGAAAGCTCCACAACCAAAACATTCAGCTCAGAGGACCAAACACCACAATAATGGCCATTTGATAGCTCTACACTGATGTAAACACTGATCACGTATTATACAAATTTTTATATTTGTCTTATAAATCTATCTAGATTTATTAGTTATAGAACAATTTACTCGAATGGTTTTAGTTTTAAATAAATCTAATTAAAGACTCGGTATTACCAACCAAATGCAATCCCAAATAACAATGATGGAAAAGCATAAGTCGTTATTATTATATAATGTTCAAACCGTAATGACATTTTTCGTAGTTCGGTTAATACAATTTATGAATTACTTATACATTTCACACTTTACAGTAAAATAGTACTTCTCAATATTACCAACTTTTAGACTCCTTCCGTTTTTTATCAAACAGTTAGATGAACCTGTTAATGTCAAGAGCAAAATCCCTTCTGAATAGGTATTGCTGGACTTTTACAAACCATGCATTGCTATGCACGTATTTTCCAGACAGTTTTATCAATCCTTACGCTTCGATAAATTAAATCCGAATATTTCTATTCTTCTTCGTCTCACGAAATCTCATATGGAAAAATGTAGTGAAATGATAAGCAGACTAATTGAACTTCATATTCATGCATCATTTGTGTTATCAAGTATTTCTGTAATATGTCAGATTAAACTTATACACTTTTGTAGTTCATTGGTCGCTAAAACAAAGGTTACTACTGAACAAAAGCTGAATAATTCGTTTATTAATGATAATTGTGGAAATTCATTTCAATTTAACCCGTATAAATTCATGACAAGTTTATAATCCGTTAAATGTTTCGTCTTTGAGAAAGAAGCTGTGTCCCTCGGATTTGACTTTTCTGTACCTCGGTGCAAATATTGATGTATATCAGAGTAAAGCCTGTTTGACGATCTAATCGAAAACAATATTGTTCGCTTATGTATGTTGTTCTGATATTATTTCAGTAAAATACAAGACGATGACTTCATCCTGTTTGAAATATGTTAGCTGGATCCACTTGAATTGACTGTTAATGTTAAAATTGAAATTTTAATCACAGAAATTTTAATCCACAGATAAATGGCTTCGCTTCTTCTATATCTTTTGAAGATAAACTACCATAACTGAATCAGAAAAGACGACGACATTACTTTAAATCATATTTTAATTTAGTATTAATAAGCCTCATTCTCATATACCATTCATTAAAAACTAAACACATGGAAGATAAATATTTTAAAAGCATACCATCCAAACTACATGCAAATATGTTGAGTCAACTATCTCATTTATTATGTATTCTTTCTTAGGAAATTTTCACATCAGTGTTTTTAAATAGCATTGTACGACACATTTTGGTTGGAGGCTTCCTAATATTATGTGATCGTACGACTGGTATACAAGTTTAGTTTCAGATATTTCGTTACAGCTGAAAAATTTCCATCATATTAGAAAACAGATTTATCAGTGTCCTAATATTTTTCAGAGTTTATGATTTATTTAGTAGCGAACTTATTTCATACTGATTAGATTTTGTCCTACATTTGAGAAACGGAAATTGTAAATAGCCCTAAAAGGGAGTAATCTAACATGCACCAGGTAATTTTTTAAGTCATTCGTGCATTTAATTATCATTGGATATATTCTTTAAAGCGAGAGAAAAGACAATTAACAGGATCAATTTCATATACTGACTTTAACTGTTTGACGAAGCGTTAACTGGCTTAATAGTAAATGAAATCAAATTTTTTTTATCAACCTATAATCAAGCAAACATCTGTATCTGAAACTTTGTTCCGTAATATAACATGGGATAATCTGGAGTTGTAATAGTTAAAGAGGAAGGTTGGTGTGAAATTCATACCGAAATCCTTAGACTTCCTGACTGTCAAGTGATTTTCAACAGCCAATCTTTTAAACTTTCTCGCTCTCCTCACTGTGTATATTACACTATATTACTTACTAATATTCAGTAGTTTCAGTTGTCTTACTTCATTTATTAATTCTGTTCCCCTGGTGTGTTACAGTAATCCAACTATCTCATCATTTTTCGAGTTATTACAAAGTTTTCGTTTGCTCTCATGCTTCTACCGGTATCTATCGCTTTCAAATGCATTTAAGTGGTTGTTTCACTTCTGTAAGTTGCATATCGTAATTTATTTCCCACATTTATGTGCTTCCAAGGACAAGTAAATTGAAAAATACAGTGCAATGTGGAGCACTATTTTAGATACGGTCGTTAAACGAGTACTCGATTGTTTTTCACTTATGAAAACCTCCAGAATATTTTAAATTCTGCTGACTTTGTTTGAATAAGACTTTTCAATCGAGACATATTCTATGTATTAAAGGTGTAATTCTTGATTTTCTGCAAAGTTCTCACCACATGAATTTTGTTTGAATCGCGAAATCACGATTAAGTTCGTTGAGGAACAAATTTCCCTCCCATTTCACGATTTATAAAAACCTAAAGTAAGTATATTATTAAGCATGTAAGGTTCAAGTTGCATGTTATGAATGAACTTAATGACACTTAGAGTTTTTGTCATTGGTTTTGCAAAAATCTCAATAGTTACTTATACATTATTAGAGTGATTTCATACTAGTTTTTCTGTTGCCTGTTTTTTTGTGGTAATTCCAATATTGTGACACTTCTTACCATGGATCGCTGCTGGTCAGTGTACAAAGACAAGGACGTTTACACAGCTATTTCCTCTTAGTCTATGGTTATTCAAAAGTGTTCATTCTCTGTTGTAAATAAGATCAAACCGCAGAATTTCAAGTTTCTTGTCATTTCAAAACAACGTGTGCACTTGTAATGTGCTCATGATGAGATTTCAAACTTATGAGTTTAACCCATCGTATACCAGTCACTGAATGCTACTGAACAACCCTATGTTAGAATGAAATGTCTATTCACTACCCACTTGTTTAAAATGGCTTATCAGCTGAAGTCGCTTCGTTGTGAAAACAATCTTATCACTAATATTCATCGACTTAATTTTCATTTCAATAAGAAATTGTAATCTTTATAAGTACAATATGTGAATGTTCAAGATGTCAATTAATTATTCACTAATTTAAGTTAATATTTCGAGATCACAGATTTTATATATGTGAAACCAATTTGTGTTTGAATATCAACATCAGTCATCACCAGCCTGCACAAACTTTAATCTATCGAATATGATTATTTCAACATAATTTCAATACTGCTACTGAGTAAAAATAAATATGATCTTATTAGGCGGTAAACTATATTATATCTAATAAAGTGAGAAAACAAAGACTCATATTTCGACTTTATGAATGTCTGGAAAATAAAAATGTAATTGTACATTTATTTTATAAACGGATTGATTGTAACTGTACATGCGTAGTTGGCTGATTACCTGTGGCTTTTAGGAAGCATCCTTTGTAATTAAGTATGTTTAGGAGGGTTATTGATTCATATTGAAGTTTCCACATACTTGTTTTAATAATAGCTTAGATATAACTAGTAAGGCTTTGAGAAATAACATTTGAAACGAAAGATATGTTATAGTAGAGATCTGACGCAGTTATATTCAAAACATATTCGTTAAAACAAAATGAACTTAACAAATATCTCTAAATGATTCTATCAACTTATACCATTACGGACGGGATAGTAGTTTTTTGCATAGTGACTAAGTCTTTCTGAAAGAGAGTCATCATGAATCACTTTTATACGCACTAAGCGATTCATCTGTTCTGATAGATCCAATTACATGTAGTTCCGTCATCTCAAGAAATTTAAACATAAAGCAGTATTAATAAATAACCTGGGCAGCATCATTCATAAACAAGGTGTATCTGATGCAGATATAAAGATATGAATTAGCAAAGCAAAGTTAGAATTTCCATAGTTGAAGAACATCTAGAACTCAAAACAACTGTCAATAAACACCAAAGTAAACATCTTCAATACAAATATCAACACAGTTCTAGTGTATCGGCCAAAAATTGGAGAACCGCGAAAGCCATCATCCAGATGACAAATGTGTTTATTAACAGTTGTTTACACCAGATACTGAGGATCGGTTGGCCAGACACCATCAGCAAAAACCTACTGTAGAAGAGAACAAACCAGGTTCCAGCTGAGGAAGAAATAAGAAAAAGCTCTGGAGGTAGATAGGACACACACGACAACTAACTTGAAATCCTCAAGGCCAAAGGGAAAGAGATAGACCAAGAGACACACTGAGCAGAGAATTGGGGACAGCCACGAAAAGAATGAATAGCAATTGGAAACAACTGGATAGGAGAGCGGAAGACAGGGTTGGTTGGATGATGCTAATCGGTTGCCTATGCTACATTAGGGCTAACAGGTGTATGTAGACGAGTAAGTAGTGTACACATGTAACAAGCTTTGTATAATCTATTCATGACTAATGGCACAGTCAGATTAATCTTTGTGTAACATAATCCATGTAGCAAAATCATTTGAAAACTGTGAAAATATATTTACTTGATAATCATGTATAAATAATAAATCCTCATCAACTTTTCTTTCCAAATATTATTTATTTAATTCAAACAATTACATTAAAATTAACGACATTAGAAAAAAAAAAAGGGAATTCAGTCAAAAAACATTTAATGAGCATAACTCCATGCGAATTCATTACACTTAACATATGGAAGACATAAAAGTTCATACGAATCCAACTACAGTTAAACAACTTTGCTTAGTATGAATTGTGTAGATTTTTAAAGAAATTCAAGATTTAAACATAAGTTATTACAATAAGTGATGAGCTAATAATTAGAAAATGACACAAATAAAGCCATGTTATATAATTGCAAATAATGGAGATCATGTTCATTGTCTTTTTATCATCATTTTCAAATGAATCATTATTACTTTTATTTTTCTGTTTGCCTTTTGAATACTACTTTTCTAATTATAGTAATATTGATAACATTTATTTATTAATTGTCTTCATAATACCTGCATGATTCATTTGTGTTTTACGCATGATTACATTCGAATCATCAGCGGATAAACTTCTTTTTATAACTACTGATCGATGAACATGCCCTGGATTACGATGATGAGATCGATGATTAGTAAGTCGATTTGATTTATCACCATATCCACGACCAGTTATCATTTCAATATTCATTTGCATTGGTTGATGATATTTGAAACGACATTTTCTACAAAAATCATTATAATCTTCAAAAGAGGATGATGGTGATGATGATGACGAGGAAATTAAACTTAACCAATTACAATGATTTAATCTTTCTGATGCAGTTGGATAATTTGTATCTTGCATAAAATGTTTACAGTTTGCATTATGTAGTTCAATATTCATTATTAAATCACCGCATGTTGAAATAGCTCGTCTATGCACATGTCCACGTCTTATTTGAAATTCAGTTTGATTTCTATGAATCTTTTTTAATTTGTGTACTGTAGTTTTACAACAATGATTCAATGATTCCCTTTTTCCATTTTGTAAAATTCTAGAAGTTTGTTCGGCATGAATATTTTTTGATAAAATATTTTGATGATTATTTGTTGCTGACATCTGATAATTATGTAGCTTATTTTGAGTTGATTTATTGATTAACATCCGAGGAGAATTATCCTCTGGTGATTCAGAATAATAATTCGGTTTAATTTGTATACTATGTGTTTGTAGATGATCTGTAGTTTTTGACTTTGGTACAAATTTTTCATTGATTTCATTTGAATCCGAAGTCCAATTCGGTACAATATTTGTTTCAGTCACATAAATATGAGGGAGATCAGTTTGAATGGAATTATCTTTTTGATTCAAATAAAAATTGGATAGTTGTTCATTTTGATTAGTTAAACCAATTTGTGTACTAGTTTCATTGAATAAGATTAATCCAAGACAATCGGTTGTTTTAGTTAAATTATTTAACATTTCTTTACGACATTCAATTTTGTTCATTGTTTCAGTAGAAATAAAACTGGATTCAGATTCTATTAACCAGTTTTTGATTGCTCCTTTAATATTTGAAATGCCAGTTGAAATCATTGGTACTTCCACTGTTTGAATTTGTGTAGAAATGTCTTTTGTGTATGCTGCTAAAGGCTTGCCTACTTGAAGCTTTTTACCAATCATTAATGGTAAACAAGGTGTAAATGATGATGTATTGCCTATTTGATTACAGTATACTTTTCTGTGTTCTTTGTTCTCAGTTATTGGACAAGAAGTAACAGTGTTGTTGGTTGTGAAAGCTGTTCCAATCTGACATGCAGCTGAAAATTTCAATGAAACTGGCGTATTCGTTGATTGAGATAGTCTCCTTAAAGGTGTTTCAAAGCTTTTCGATCTTCCATTATATTTTGCATAAATTCTTGAATCGTTTTTATTGTCTTTAACTTGTTCAACAGAATCGATATCTTCACTTCTTATAGGGTCAGTACTGTGATTTCGTTTTACTACACCAACCTGACAACAAACATCCCATACTTTCACACTACTAGATTTCAATCTATGATGATGAATGTTGTCACTTTTTTCCGCCTTTGCACTAAAACGTGAAGGTGATGGACAATAAAGTTTATGACTTAAAAAGTTGTCATCCATGAAATTACACTGGACAGAATTATCTGCACTGCAAACTTTGTAGATATTTTTATAACAGTGTTGACATATACTTTCTGGATTTTTATGATTTCTCTGATTCTTTGCCTCTGCATCGAATAACACTGTATCTAATTGCCTTGAAATATACATTTCAATATCAGTTTGAATACCTGAATCAATTGTATTGTACATTTGGCCTTCATTAAGGATATTATGATCATTACCAGTTTTAAATGAACATCTATTTACATGTTTTCGAGTTTTTAATTTACTTCTGTCATTATGAACATTCACAGACTTGTTTTTTTCTCGATCAGCAGCTGGTAATATTTGCATAGCTGGCCACCATTTACTGTCAGAAGGAGGAGTATAACCCCATGGTGTACCTTGTTGTATCCAACTATACGATCTTACTACTGATTGATTGATATGTTCATCAAAATCTCCTTGATGATCATTTACTTCGGAAAATTGAGTAGGAGAACGTTGAATAAATTCTCTACCAGATTTATTTGTGGTCATATTTAATGGAGATCTTCTACCTGGTGGTCCTGGTTCAGTATTTGGACTTTCAGGTGTATACGATTCATCTTTAATTGTTCGTTTACCACGTTTATACCACCATAGAAAAGGTCTTTTACCAGTTCTACTTCTGTGAACTTCATTTTGAATTTGAGGGAAACTTATTTTTTCTTTTGTACCAATAGAGGATTCCGATGGACTATCAAATCCTGAACTTGCTGTAGTTTCAGTGAGACTAGCATTGAAACTATATGGTCTACGTTTTGTCCTACCCTTTGATCTGGAAAGTTTCTTCACAGCACTACACTTTTTATTTTTAAATGTTGATACTCTATCTTCGCCAACACTAGAATCTTTAGTTTCAATAGATAAACTTGGCATTGAACGAGCAGCTTTAAGTCGAACTTCTGATGTAGTATCACTTACTTCACTAGAAGAATTCAAATTTGAAGTAGATAATTCTGCTTTACAAATAAACGGTGACAATAAACTTATTTCATGAAATTCTGAACAGTTTGTACAATAAGCAACAGCTGAATAGAATGGTGAGTCAATTTGTGTCATAAGTTCTTTAGTTTGTTTACTAAAATTTGAATAATTTTGTGCTATTTGCTTATTCTGACGTTGTAGTGAATTTTTGCTGCATGGAATTTCATGCATTCTATGATCGTATACTCGTGTGTGCTTGTTTACTGTAAATGTTTTAGGTATATTTTCAGTGAAACATGTGATTAATTGTTTTTCACCAAATTTTTCATTTATTTCATCTGAATATACATTTTCGTGTTGATTGGTAACTTTAACTACTGAAGGCCTAGGAATAAATAAAACAAATGGTCAAAATAAAGTCAGACACTGTTTCGTAAAGAGATATAAATGAAATATACACATCAGGACACGTCGAAATTAGCAAATGATAAATGATAATCATTACAATAAGTTAAGTAAGAATAACAGCTTCAAACATCAATTAGATTATATGAATAGATAGAGTAAACTATGAAAAAACTGATATGAGCACACTCGATAAATCTCTTGTTCATTAATATCCTATCTTCTTTACGGAATACTCTTTCATGATAGTAAACGGAGTAAATTATTAATTATCATAGCCAGTTGAAGTATTTAGTTTTATGAGCCGTATACTCCCATTTTCATGCTATTCATAGAGTACAGTAGAAGTTATTCTGTTACCTACTTGTTAATTCTAGTTCATCTGACAATAACTTTCAACTTCAGTGTATTTTTTAACCAATTAAATTTATTTTCAATAATGAAATTTTAATCTCCCTTGAGAAACTTAATCTTAACTTGTAGATCATATGATTTCCTCATTCGAGGCTGCCTATTTGTTACGTTTCCAGTGTTCAGTAAATGTACTGTGTCGAGGACTTTGAGAGGCTTTAACGTTAATTTAATGAATCATTGCTGGATATAAAACGTGTAATTTTCATTAGAAAGTTTGTTTCCAACCCTAACTTTCACTCTATTTCATTCTTGTTTAGTATATTCAGGTGCTCTTTAATGACATTTTTATAGAAGATAGGTACGAAAAACTTTGGATACTTGAAATGAACAATTCAGTAGAAATTACCATCTTATATATGGTGTCCATCAGTAAAGTGAATAGAAACCCTCCCCTTTTATCGTCCCACCACTTATCGCCAATAAATCATCTTACTTCAAGGGTGTTTCGCTTTATTATTTACTTTTCATAACAAAAACGAAAATTTCATGAATTTCCATAAAAGATTTTGACAGTTTTCATTTAAAAATGTAATATTCAGTTGTCTCCTACATTGATAACAACTGAATAAGTCAGTTTATCTGTTTATTTACAAGACAGAGTCGACTTATCAATGAAGGTGAATCTTTTAAAAAATGAATTTCAAAAAGTTTAACAAGCCGAATACAAAATTACACAATTATTAATGGTCTGGAAATTCTCTGATACTTCCCAGGTCAGTGCCCTTGGGATTATAGTTGATATATTTTTTTTTCAAGATTTACTTACATTAACTCACTTTAATTAATTAATAAATTAATTCATGATCGCACTTGACTGCACTCACTGAAATCAAGTACACTACTTATTTGTCTGAGATAATACAGTTGATTCTTAATTTTTAAAAAACAAAAACTTACGAAAACTTAAAATATAAATCATCATTTCTCAATGTTGTAAGACCTTGGTTATGATCTTCATTCTCGGAAGCATTCACCACTGCTTCATTATATGTCTGCATAAAGATCTAAAAAAAATTATAAGCAGATATTTTTTATATTCATTACAGGTTAATGAAATGCACAGACTATTCAGCCACTTCTTTTAATCAAGAGCATGACTTGTTCACAGAGATGACCAGTAATTTAATAATATGATCAAAGGCAATATATATGTTTTATTTACATACCTACAGAAATGTAGATTTGTTTATTGTTACACATGATACTTGAATTCATGTTGAAAGCTTGTTATTAACTATATTATTCTACCTCATGAATCACTCACTATACAGTGAACATCAAGTTTAAATGATTACCGTAAACGAATAGCAGTTTAAAACAATCAGTCCCTTTTACAAAATGTTGACAGAACTATAAGAAGACGTAAATGATCTGAAAAATATGATGTATTTGCGCAGTGCATTTCGAATAATCTGGTCACACATATATCAGTAAGGTTACTCTGTACCGGAGATATCTAGATGATATTTTGGTTATATGCGATAAAGATTTCAGTGTCTCTCAGTTACAGAATAAGTTCAGTACTCTTCAAAATGACATTGTCCTGACCCACGAGGCAGAAAGTAATGACCGATTGCTCTTCTAGACATGCTGTTGAGTCGAAGGGAGAATGGAACTATAAAGTGGTCAGTCTGAAGAAATACAACCGAGACTGGACAGTTTGAAATTTCAGCAGTTTTTGTCCATTGTAATACAAGCGAGGCTTGGTAAAATATCTCTTCATGTGGCACAAAGAATTTGCACCACGGATACATTTGAAGACGATACGAAATTCTTGACTGGAATACTGAATTCAAACGGTTTTCCACTGAAGTTTATAAGCAGGGGTAAAAACAAACTTAAGACAACAGCCTGTCTTTTATTCTGTTGGAAAGTGTCTCTATCACTTTACCATTTAGAGGCGACTCAGATGGTTTGATCTTATGACAGACTAAAAGCAGCCATAGGGAAAACATACTACGCTGCCAAAGTGATTATAATTGGAAAGACTAAGCCCATGATTCCATATAAGCCTAGATATTGCTCGAATGACTACATTACATCCTATTGCACTCATCAATTTACCTTTTTGTGTGGGCACACATACATAAGATGGGGTAATCGGACTCTGCAATCAACGGTTATGGAACATGTACCTAAGTGGCTTAAAAATCAATGAACGTCAGATGATCCGATGAACGTGAGAAACATAAAACCATGCTCATCAATTACAAAAAAACATAATAGACACGGAGCATAAGATTGATATCAGGACAGCCTTTCAAAACCTGATATAGAAACTTTCAAGAACGAATTCTGAGGTCGATGGAAGCCTTGGTTTTTCGTAAATTAAAACCCTCCTTATGTGTACAGAAACAGTTTGTTACAACTCTGGTAATCTTTAAGCGATTGTATGGCCTATGGTAATGTGACAATTTCACACCCTTTCTTATTCTTTCTACATTATGTTAGTTTTCTCTCTGCTTCATTCACAATTATCACCTTAAGTTTATTTGAACTTTTGTTTAATTAACCTTTTATTAATTTCAAATAAAATGTCTGAACAATTATATGTTTAACCAAATTGTTCGAAATGTATAGCACAAACACATCACATTTTTCAGATTAATAACAGTTTAATGTGAATTCAGATCAACCTCTCATCAAACCTATATTTATTTCATTGATAGTATTTCAATGTGAGCACAAATAAAAACTTATTATGTATATACAAAACCCTAGTGAGTACATTATATCCAATAAAATACAAATAATTTTTATAATAGAAAACATTTAATAAACTAATTGATCACAAAATAATAAGTTTCGTGCTGAATATCTTTGAATTCCAGTTTGTGCTTAAGATAGTACTGTTGATGGTAATGACGGAGAGTTCATACAAACAAGATATTTTTACAAAAGAATTATGATGTGTACTAACATATCGAGCCCACAAGGATTTTCATAGCCTTTGAACAAATCAATTAATCGATTCTTCTCGAATCATTCTTATCCACACGTCTTTCAATCTTGTCTGTTATTCACTCATATTCTTGGTTGTTTTTATTCGTGTGTGTGTAGTTGTGCGTATGCTTACTTCGTTTAACATATGTTCGGCTTATTTTTATCTGATTGTAAATACTTGGTCATTCCTTATCGCAGTGAGTTGGCGCACTCGCCTTCACTTCTTGTGTCTGTCTGCATGAACGGTTGCCTGAAGTAAATTCATTCAACTAAATCCGTATTTGCCTTCTTAAAACTACCATTGCATAAACATGGTTCGCATAAGTATGATAAACGCAACTGAAAGGGAGATCTGTTTCAGAGCATACTCAAAAATTCGTCTAAATCGGAGTCAGATCGTGAGCCATTAAACAAGATGAGCCGTAATTCGAATTCAACGCAGTTCTATCAAAGATTGCTTATCAAATCAAATCGATCAGTGTTGCATTTTATGTTACCTTTAACTGACTACACAACAAGGACTAAGCAACTTTACTTGATTTAGAGTGTCAACAGAAAAGCGTTGAACCAGCTTTCAACTTAGCTTTTAAGTTAACTAATTTGAAATTACTTACGCTTTAATTTTCTTATCAACAATTATTATTAATGGAGGTGTGATACATTTATCATTAGAGTTTAATCTATATTACTTGAAATAATTAATTTTAAAAACAATTTCTACTATTTAGACGAATGCTAACGCACAAATCTATTGATTATCTTTTGAACTCTAGTATTGTATGAATAGTAATAATAATAGTTATTATTATTAATTACAGATGTAAGGAAGGAATTATCACCTTTCACATCATTCACAAGTCATTTATATAACATTTTGGCTTCTGAACAGTTAAATGTCACTAACTAACAGTCAACTCATAGTATACAAATTTCAAATACAATACAGTTTTTATTAAAATGTCTTATTATCGTCTCAGTAGTGCCATGTATGTTTAGATATTTTTTTTAACTGAATTCAGCTACTCTAATTCCAGTTGATTTATATATAGTAAAATAGTTTTTCAAGTAGAAACAATTCACTATACGACTAGATTTTATACAAAAAAAGAAACTCTGTGTACCATAGAAATTTACCTTCAATGTTTTTACTGTTTCAGTTAGCTGGTAAATATCCTCCTTCTTTACATGTAAAAGTGTATCTGAAATATACAAATTATTATATAAATCTAGTACGTCTTAGAAGTAATCACCTAGACCTATTAGAAATGAATTTTTTTACACATTACATAGAAAATTTCAATTGCGAAAGCACAGGAAATTAAACGAATTAATTTTGTTTCCAGGATGTTTGTTAATCTTGCTTTACAAAAGTGTATCTGCTTGTCGTGCAGTGTATGCGCACTGCTAATGAGTCCTATACTAGGATGAAACAACTATTCAGTGCTTCCAGGTTTCTAATGGTGGTCTAACAATAATCTGTTCATTATTTCAATGAAACTCAGAGATCTCTGCAACCATTATAATGATAACAAGAAAAATCATGGGCAAACGTAGGATCAATAATCGTTTAAAGGAAGTTGCTGTCCAAATAAAAATCTATGGAACGATAGGATAATGTCAACAATAAATAACCAAAGTGAAGATTGATAAAACAAGCTATCAGTTATATGTGGAAAAATTCGAATATCTGACTTCTACATGAAGTTTGTTCTGATGATATTGGTTAGAACAATGAAGGCTTCACAAGTAATCGGTTTGACTCAGAGAGAAAAAAACTGCACCAAATACAAATTGTTTCTACTATCTCTCATAAAAATTTAAATTTTCAACTTCAGTTCCTGGACATCATTAACATAATGTAAGTACAATGATATTCGGTAAACTGCAAATCTTTCAATGACATGAAATACTAACAAAATATTTAATAATTAAAATAAACTAACTGCAATTGAAAGGTATAGTGTGTTATTTTAATTGGTATAATGTTTACCTAATAAGTCTGAAGTCGCTTAGTTTTATTGACCCACAAAACATACTTCTTTTGGAGAGTAATACTTCTAGCTTTATGCCAAAAAGGCCTAGTATATTAAACAAGGATATTACATATGCTTTAAGTTAAAATCATCTTTTAATCAAACTGTGAAAATAACCAACTTTCTTTTGCTGTTTAGAAGTAAACGATTAAACCTATGAATATTTTTGTGTAAGTTTCTTCATCAAAAGTCTACCGTAATATTTCTAATAGATTAAATGAAAATGATTTCGTTTCAGTGAAACTATAAATAAAATATTTTGTTTGAATTAATAAACTTCTATGTCCACATAATTTGAACTTTGTAGTTAACACTCAACTGAGATTGACAATTAAAATATCATTTAAGTTACAAAGTTCTGTAAAAAGTACATTCATGTGTTTTATTCTTTCATATTGGGCTAAAAACCTAATAACAATAAATGATTCTGAAAGTTTTTATCTGTCAAGTCTTTAATCCAATGCTTGAGCACTTAATAGAAGAAGACAGTATTACAATCATATCCATAATTTCAGAATAAGTAACTTGATAATTCAAAAAGTTTTAGAAACGAAAATGAGAACACTGTTTGGTATAGCAAACTAGCATGATTAATTTGACGTGTGATGAAACACGGATCGTGTTATGTCAAACACAGTAATGGTTTCTGACGTGGAGGCTTTACGAGCTTTTCTTTCTTAATTCCCTCCAATTGAAATAAAGCGTCTCGTTTAGAAAATCAACAAGTCATACCATCAACATTTCTAACCATTTCACTTAACTTTATCATAAACTAAACGTTTATTCTTTCTCTTTTGATTTGTCCAGAGGAAAATCACTCGGTAATGTACCTTGATGAAAATTGCTTTTTCTTTGAAACATTGTCTAAATAAACAAACTTATCATGCTTTTAGGTAAATACACTAAGAAAATATTCTTACCTCCGGTTTCATATGACCTATAAGATAACATTTTCAATGTTTCTAATTCCGGCTCATTTCCATATTCAAAAAGAGTTTGTAATGAATTTAAAAAGTCATTGAATACTTGTGAGTCTTCCACAATGATTAGTTGCTTTATTAAAGAATATTTAGAAAGAGAAAAATAAAACATCTCAGTGTTATTTTAAAGTAGTCAAATTATAATTACTCCATGAAATCTTACATATATAATGCTACCCAGTAATGCATTGGATTTTATGATGGATCTTCTTCATATGTGGAGGTCTATTTAAAAACATTTTACCATTTTACTTATTAGAAATTCCTTGTTCAAATGTTTTTTTCACTAAGCATGTAGCCGTGCGGTAGTCATCAAGTTAACAATGATTTTTCCAAAGCAATACTTGTTTAATCTATATCTAAATGGAATGCTAAACAGTATACTCTAGTGCTATTATTTGAGAATATTTGACATTTTTGATATGTATTGTGATTCTCATGTTTGCCTGAATAAATCCTTATATGCTTACTTTTTCGTCTAGAGCCGTGTCAATTAAAATAACTTATTTTAATGACAAGCTGATATGTCAGTCAGTTAGTCGGTCAGTCAACTTCAAGGTAGAATTTCGTACGTCCGTTCAAGTTGCCATACCCCACATTAGCACACAGAGATGAAATCACCAATTCAAATCACATAGTACTAAAGGTAGTAGATGTACTAGCATAAAGATGGAGAAAATTAGGGTTCGGAGATATGATGCAGGAAGTATAGTCCAGTAAAATAAAAAAAGTTGATATTTACATTCAAGAGTGAGGTTATGCTTCAAAACTAACAGTTAGCGTTTTTTTGGCAAGTTAGATTTCGACGGAATGGGGTCGCCAATCCCATGTCCAACCCTCCTAACTAACAGTTACTGTGATATTTTATGACAGATTTTATTGCGATTCTACAACTTTATATATCTGAACTGTTGAATAACGTACAACAATGTTAAGTTCAGTGTCAGTTTAACTATAACGTTCAAGAATCGTTGAACTAAAAATCGATAGTCATTCTGTTGAATATTAGAGATGTCCTCTTAGAAAGTATTTAATATTCTAAACAGTAAAAGTAATCGGTCAAAATTGATAGCTCAGTGTTTGAATGAAATCTCTGAACATTTTATGATAATATAATCTGTGTTTATTATCGCTTAGATGCTTCAAAGTCAAAACTTCTCTGATATCAGTTAACACTGTTGTTAACTAATCAATTATTCGTTATCATATTAGAATGTTTGATATAAATTGTTGGAAGAAAATAAATTTACTCAGAAAATTGTTTACTTAGTAAATACTTACATCAATGTTTTCAAGTGTTTTTATACAGTTCGTACATGTGGGCATCAATATTTTTGCAAAGAGATTAATAGCGATTTTCCATGAACTGTACAAATCTTTATGAAAACTAAATCAGAAATGTTGAAAATTAAAAATAATTTGATCAGTTTGTTAAATGCTTTTATGTCAGTTTTTACTAAAGTAATCAACATAATCCAAGTTTTAAAGTCATTTGTATTTTGAAAGGTATTCGATTGTGTCTGTGTGTCTTAAGTCAAATATTTTGTATTGAAGACCATTATTCCAGTCTCAGAATTGATTTCTTATGCTGACCAATTCTAGTGTGTTTTGATATCTGTCCATAAAAATCTTTAAGCCAATTACATGGATTCTCATGAATAATCGTCACTCAAACACATTATGCACTTGTGGTGATTGGCCTCACTTATACAGGCAATGCAGTTTTCGATACACTAGTGAACCTCAGGAGTAAGAGTATGACAACAGTAATATTGATTATGGGCTTATATACTAATTGTCATGGTTATATCATGTTTTATGAAAAAATACTTTGCGATTTTTTAATGGAATCCAGTTAATAATAAAATTATTTTCTTAAAGGTAATTCATAGTTTGATAGTGACCAAATGATTTATTCATGTGTAATTACTGATGCTAACAGAATCTTCATACTTTGCTCAAACGAGGTTGTACGACCAACGTGAATTAGCGATTAACAACCATCTATAGTATCGAACATGATCTTCCGAAATCAATATGACTTAGTGTCCTCCAAATGCCAGAAGCAACGGTTGTTCAGATTAAATATACCATAGTTCCTAGTGCAGAAAAAAAGTTGAGGTTCAATAAGTGTAGGGTATCGCGCAAATACATCCATTTCCTACTCATTCAATTAGTGGGTATTGTAAGTTAAAGTTTCAATTTCTATCCGAGATTTCATTTCAGACGGCTAGAATTATCTATGACTGTCTAGTCTGAGCAAATTAGTATAGCGCAGTAGATGTGCTGGATGAACAAATATTGTAATGCTTAGTGGAAACTTTAATGATTATACTCCGATATGCAGCATTCACTTATTAAATTAGTAGAAAAATGGCCGAAAGTTTTTGGATACAACAACCATTGAACACTAATAACATTCTGGATAACCTTTCTTTTGCATCCAGTGAATTGAGTTATGTCCAGCCGCTCCTTTTACCTCAGTCAACCTTGGACTTGATCTTCGTCTTAATTATAAGATAACATAATTCAACCAATGTGTATGGGATCTTTTTCACTTCATTTTCATAACCTAAATCGATCTAATTCAAATATTATTGCTCTTATTATTATACACTACACTTTAGTACTTCGTGGTTATTTTGTATTACTCTGTGCATTACGTAATCTTTGACCAAACATTTGATGTGAAATATATGACCACATTATTATTCGTGTTTATTCTGATTTCAACACTCCCAAAAATTCCAAATGACCTATAAACTTGTTCAAATTGACATTATATAATAATTCTTTCAATATTATTAACTTTATTTTTGTAAAGATTCCTGAATTCGTATGGTGCAATTATAAGAGATGTTCTTGTATAAAAATTAAAAATCAACTTGAATTACAAGGAACTCTGTCTTCATCATGAGATGTCATAACTCTTCTGAAAGAAGACCTTCTATCTTCTAGGGCAGAGTTGAAATATTTTGAACTGATTTTTCTGGTTAGCGTTTTTTTAGCGAGTTAGTTTTTTATAGGATGGGCCGCCAACCCCATGCCCAAATTTCCGCCTTTATTTGGGCTTGGGACCAGCAGTAGCCCCTGGGAGGCTCCAGGCGGATACATCCAGCTTAAAGAACGAAACTCATTGACAAACATCCACCTGGATTACGAATTTTCTCCACCATCTCCTGAATCAATGAATTCTGATTTCATGATCTAATAATACTATATTTGTCACAAATTTTAAACATTTATAAATTTAACACTATCTTTGTGTGATTATGAGTATGAACTTTTGGAAAATCCCAAACTAAGTCAAGAAATCTTTTCAACGCTTTCTCATCTCCACTGACTATCCACTTAAGATCAGTTCATTATAAAAATTATCTTAAAATAAGAATTTCATCAGCAACTGCTCTGTATCGAAATATCCATAGGATAGTTTCATTTAGAAATAGAATGATAATATAGATTATTAAAATATCTACGGTACCTTATCACCTTCCATATAGATATTTACATCTAATTTAGAAAATTCGCTTGTTTATTTTAGTCGAAAGAAGATGAGAATCCATGAAGGAGTTCTCTGGAGATTGTAGTATTTTCCTTGTTGAAATCGCTAACTGATCTTTGCTAGCGCACCGTTAGATATCTAAAAGCACTGGACAGCCATTTCACGCTATTATCTGACAGTCACTGTCCCACAGTAAAACTAAACGACCGTCCAGCGCTTCTAGGTTTCTAACAGTGAACTAGCCAAGATCAGTTTGTGATTTAACTATGAAGATCAGAACTGTAACGTATTATAATTTTGTGAAATATTTTTAGCATCTACTAGGCACAATTTCCAGATAACCAGCTATTACTTATAACTTTATAACCTGAAACTTGTAATTTGATTTATCATAGAAACTTATCCAAGCGCATAATGGAACACTAGAACAACAAGATTTAATATGAGTAATCAACTTAAAAATATATTTACAATATCTCAACTGATCAATCACTACTGTATTTTAATGGAATGTATTCTTCAAAGTTGTGAAATGACATAAATTTGACATACCGTTTACAAATACTTTTGGTTGATGAAATTTTTCCAAACACTTCATGATTTTCTTCATTATCACTAGACTCTAAATCATTGCGGTTTTCTGATGCTGGACTATGTTCTGGAGAAGTAAGCCAAAAACAAATTGATGGTGCATTTTTTATTTGTTCACCATTACTAACTTCAACATTCCATTCATTATGTAATTTCGATAAAAATTGATTACTTCCCCATACTTTCACAGAATCACCTCTATGAACCAATTGTCCAGATGGTAAACGTAGTGAAGCTAACAAATATGCTGAATGTTTACCATGAGTTAGAGAGTTACGAAGAAATATCGATTTGAGGACTGATGATTTTGCCAAGAATTCTTTTGATTTCTGAGAAAGTCTTGTATAGATGCTCTGGCAAAATAAAGAATATGAAAGGTACATTCAACAAATGTTTATCATAACACTGATTACAGAAACAAAAACAGTATTATCTTGAATTAAATTAAAATCTTCATTTTCACAACTTACCAACTGACTTTCTATCATACTTTTAATTGTTATAAGTGCTTCATCGGTTAACAAACTCAATGCACCTAATTTTTCTTGAATTAACGAATAACTCGAAAGAACTTGTTGTATTTCCATACGAGCTGACCAAATTTCATGATGAAACTTGTTAAAGTGGAAAAGAAAAGAAGACAAATAAACCGATGAATGAAATTAGGTGTGTCGGTGGAATTAACAATCACATTTATTTTCCTAAACAGATATTACTAAAGAATACTTGTAAACATTTTTATTATCCTTCAGTTATATTCTCATCAAATAGAATATAATCAAATAAGTTTATGAATAATCCTGAACAAGGATTAAGTATGATGTGTTTATTTTCGTTACATATTTGAAACTGATTTCGATGGATGACTTAGAAAAAAAGCCTAACAGAGCACATTAACAAAAATGTTTTTCAAATTGTATAAAACACACAATTAAAACTACGGTAAATCATTAAACCGATTGTCAAGTTGAAATATATGTAGCTTGACAAAAATAGAATGTAATTTCGTAGCTTTCATTTGAGTATTCGGAGAAGAAAGTGTAAACTGAACAGTCATAATACGTCGCTTCAATAAAAGCGCTTCTAGTTGTTTAACTGTTTATATTTCGTCAACTGATACCACTAATACTAAAAACGTGAACAGCAAATTCAACATCCGTCGATTTTAAATAATTATCGATCGCCTACTTCATCTTTTTTTATCAAAAGAATAAACCTTACAGAACATTCAAATGCAATTAAACTATTGAATGGGAATTTATTAGTTCCCACTTTCACCATCAGTGCATTTGGGAAGTTGTTTAGGGTATGCAAGTTTTCAGTGAATCTTTAAATGATGATAGCTCCCGATTACATCTACCTTTAAAACCATAGAAATAATTCCATAAATCAATAAAGTAGCTGTAAAATATTCATCAGACATCATAATTAACCTTATGATATTCATGTGATTTTGCGATATGAAATTGTATTGCTTCAGATAATTGAGAAATATATGTCCAACATCTATCGACATTTTCACCAGTTTCCTAAAATGAAAATACCGATTATTACATTATAAGAACAATGAAATAAATTGAAAATTTTCATTGAGATAAAGCCATTTCCAAAAAAAAAATGACTGAAATTGATCATTCTTTATGCACACGATTTTCGTGTATAATCAAAATCGAGACATATGAAAAAAAATAATGATTTCTCTTTGGACTAGTTTATGAGTTGTAACATGATAAATTATATTACTGGACAAAGAATTTTTCAAATGAAGAGACATAAGAGCATTATCATATAAAATCATTTTCTACTCTACAAGTAGTAAGTTATGGTATCTCAAATTATTTCTTGTAAATACAATAGTTATCCTTTCCATATCAAAATGAACTTTTGACTGTTCATTTGAGTTAAGTAATTTTTGGAAAATTATCACCTGTTTACTTATGCTTAACGTATCATCCAACAGCTCTCATTGAACTCATTATTCTTTTTTTTTTTGGTAACAAATCGTGAAAATGAATATCAGAAAAAATTACTATTGAACTAGATGATAGCAGCAAAGTTTTTGTAAATGTCAATTAAATTCATTATTTTACTTTTGATATGATGAATAGCAGTTTTAAAGATTTTGAAAGATTCAATTCGCCGATTTCTTTATTATACGTATTCATAATGAATGAATCATTTGTAATATAATCTTATCTCGGCATAACCTCTTAGCCTAATATAAAAGTGATATACACAGATAATAATAGTAAGATATTTATTTGGATACTTGTCATTATTGCAGTCTATAACTTAGTAGAAAATTTAGTGTATTATAACAAACAATTAACGAGATATTTTAGATCTTGGTGTTTATTTCTTTGTCCATGTTGCCTGAATTCTGCTCACCAATTTTGACAAAAAAAACCAAGATCATCTGCCGTTACTAATATTTGATGTACTTATATAATTGAATATATGATTGTTGAACTAGTACTACGTCTGTGTGTAGTTCAAGCAATAAGCTTTTTGAAAGAAATTGTGATTTTTATGAGTAAAATTAGTATAAAAAATTATGGTTAACATGCTACCTAAAGATATGGCACTGAGAGGTGCACGAGTCGTGGATATCAGGACAAAACGTCCCTCTTTCAGTGCTTCCAGGTATCTAATGGTGATCTAACAATGATTAATTGATGATTTCGAATGTGTAAAAACAATAATCTCCATTAATCTAATTCAAAAATATAGTAAACTAGTAATATTAGCTAACAGCATACTTCTATGTATCATTACATTTCAAATTATTCATATGAAATACATCAGTTGCTTACCTTATCATATATTCTCTCTGGATATGCAATGTTCTTTCGATCACTCAGTGTTATTGCTGCATTTATAACACGTTCTGCCAGTTTCTTGAGTGAATTTTTAATTTTATCAATCATTTAAATGATGAAAAGTTTTAGTAAGAGATTTTCATAGTGTACAATAAGATTTAGTAACTTAAACGTATTTTTCTATATAATTAATCATAAAAGAACTCTTATATGTTGAGAATCTTTTGACATAACTGGAACTGTATATCCAAAGTTTTCAATGAGTGAATGAGATTGGACCTTTACTTGGTTGTAGGTATGTGGTTAGCAAAAAGGTTAAGTATCATTGTAAATGAAAACTCAATCACATAGAACCGTAACTACTATTATTTACATCTTTATTCAGCTAATTTAAAAATCTTGTTAAGTCTGTCTTAACATTTACATATTCTAATGATGCTACTTAAATGCATTCAGTAGTGTATGATTACTTGAAAAGTTTAACATTGTACTACATATCCCATACATTTCTGCTCTTGCTCTCTTTTGTTCATTATGCCTTAGCTAATTATTCTATTATTCTTTATATTATTCATTAAAAAATATTCTCATATAAAGCTACGTGGGGAAATAACAATTAATAGGAACTAAAATCCTAAAGAATATTCTACTAAGATGACGGAAAAAAATTGTAGCCTAGGTGGATGGTAGTAATGGAGTTTCTTTCTCTGAGTTGGCTGTTTTGGTAGGGGAGCATTCTTTGTTCTTCCGGTAGAAGCGAAGTATTCGAATTTCTCAACGTATAACTCGTAGCTTGTTCCGCTGACCTCTACATTTTTTGGCCTTACACCTGTCGCTGTCTGCAACCTCAACCAACCAAGATCGAAGACAACGGAACAAGCTACAAGATATAAGTTGAGAAATTCGAATACTTCACTTCTGCTATCTGAAGTTTGTGCTGATGATGTTGTTCAGAAGATCAATCGAATCTCCACAACAGAACATCCCCACCTCAGAGAACGAAATTCCACCACAATATTCTACTAAATCCATTGAACATTTCAAAATAATAATCATTTGTATTCGTCTTCAATTACCCAGAGTTTATGAAACATTAGTAGGCAGCATGTTGGTATATTTATTGTTTTACCCATCAGGCATAAGTAACATATAACCCATTTTCTTAAAAGGGTTATATTATATCACTTGCTAACCGTCTGGTCGTTCGCTAATTGCTGAGGTCTAGTCAATAAACATAACTCACTGAGAAATCACGTTCCAATCCTGAAATCCCTTGTAAATAGTCCAATATCTCAATATTTCCTTCGACATGTTCCTGTAATAAGTAAATTTATTTGTGATAAAACTATTCCATATTACTAATTCATAGATGGTACATATTTACATGAAAATAGAAAATATTTCACTCAGTCACTACTTTTTCATTTCAAATATTTACTAACTTTTTAGCGAGAACTATAAATTATCTAAAGGAATAATATCAGTGTAGTAATGTTGAATTTCTGTAAGTAACTTTGATTAGTGACGCATTATGACGTAGAAGACAATTCAAATCATCTTTACAATCAGATAGATTCACTATGTATCTCCATGTGCAAGTATGAGAATGTTTTGTTTTGTTAAATTGTACATCAGCAGTGAATGTATTTGATTGGGTGGATTTCAGTTTTGTTGCATCTTATTTACAGAAATGAAACCCATACTAACAAAGCTTTCCTTGTAGATTATAACCAAACGATCATTTAGGCTTAAATGTAGTGTGTAGAGTGTAATCACTAAGTCTTAAGTTACTGTTCCTTATATAAACTCTAATTTCTTCTTCGACTATACATTGAAAAGTCCTAGAAAAATCGTACTTGCTGTTCCCTTAAGAATGACGATAGTGCATTATCGTTTTACTTATTCTTTCAAAAAATATTGCGCGTCTATTCACTTTGTAATTTTTACCTATCTTAGTTTTATTTAGGTTCAAACAAAAAAAATCATCCTCGCAGAATTAATTATAAAATAGTGTTTATGAAAATTACAAGTTAAATAATCTCAAACATTGAAATTTGAGTTATTCCAACGTTTCATCCAGTAATCTTTTCTGAAGAAGATTATTTCAAATGTAATTTTCTTATCATTAACAACTTCTATATATTCGGCTCTCAATTCTCGTTAAGTTATTCGTTTAACTATTGATCGATATTTGTATGATTAATAAATGTTCTGTCAGTTTCCGATTTTAATATATCGTTCTAGGCTGGATAAAAGTTTTAATGATGAAGCCATTGTTAGATAGTGCCATGTGAGCTAATTTCTTAATTACTCATGTCTCCATATCTCTTTACTCCATTCACCGACATGCTAGTTTTCAAACTTATCAACAAAACGTTTTTTTATAACCAAGTCATTGATAATCAAACCATATTTGGTTTATTCTATGAATACAATGGCTGATATCTTCAAAAATATCTGTTCAATAAACGCTCTAAATATATTTAACGTCTATATTATGCAGCTACTTTATAATAGCGAGATCCAGTCATGATAATTAGATGAATATTGCTTTTATTGTGTGAGTTACATGAAATATCACCAATTTTGCATTTTGATTGAGAAGTAGATTCTCGTTATGTCTGTTACGCTCGTCTCTAGGTATGCTTCAACTATACGAGTTCACCTAGTCGAATAACGAGAACGAAACAATGAACCAGCGTCCAGGTAGGCTACTGTGATCCCTTGACTAAAAGTTATCAGCAAGAAGTCTTGATATAGTGTAGAAATTGTATTCTACAAACACCCAGCCAGCACACAATGAAACCAAGCACTCAAATTGCGTTTATTTATACTCTATAGAGACATCCTTGGGACAGTCACAAAAATAGCTCACTAAAATGACACAACAACTAATCACAGCCAAAGATTTTACTGGTGGGAAATGTGATCTCAAGGCCAACTGATCGGTCCATGAAATAAATCCAAAATAAAGATATTTATGAAACGAGTTCTGGGGATCTAACAACACCAACAATTTCACTTATAATAGTTAATGTCAGAGGCTATGTGTAGTATAATACATACGCAACATGATATATAGTTATTATTACTAACACAAAACTACATTGAAAAATAAGTTCAGCTATCAAATGTCAAACTGTTGCCTTTTGCATCTCTTTCTTTTTATAAAATTGATAATTTAGCCGCTCACTGAGTCACAATAATAATAATCATTATTATTAATATAATCTGCATCTGACGTCACTCAACCGTGAGTCCCTAAATTTCACTTACTTTAATGATTTAACAGTCTTAACAATCATAACGAATATTATCAATTTGTGTGTAAATATTGCCTTCTTTTGTCATGGTGAACTAGAAATATTACGTATGTAAGATTATATGGAATGTTGTTTTTGTTGATTTTCTCAAAGAGATCACAATTTCTATTTCATGAGTGAAATGATTTCAGAAATTATTGAAAATATCGAATAGATATCTTCTTAATGTTATAAACAATTTTTTTTCAAAATACAAGCTATCAGATTAGAAAAAATATTCAGTGATCGTTGTTTTTAACATCATTGTTTTGCATTCAGTTATAAGCTCGTACTAATAAAACTCACTTTCAACATTTCTGTTCGTTCGATCATTTCTTCGTGCATTGTATTATTCTATTAAAACAATTTGAAATAAGATTCATGTATTAGTGTCATACATTGATATGCAGCTGAAAATAATAAGCTTTGGAATTGACCTTATATAAGGATTCAAGTGTGTTTGCGAATGAAGAATCTTAAAGAAAGATATATAATTTGTCTATTTCATTTTGGTTTTTAATGAAGAATCTCTACAAACCCTTTTTCCTAAACAATATTAGGTATTTAGGTACATTCACTACCTATGTTTCTTAAAAGGTCTTGCATATCGATGACTGTGATTGGAGTGAAATAAGACTATCTCCTTAAGTGATCTAGTGTAGAGTAGTCATGTCATGACTGCGCTGTGATCAGTCAGACAGCTTAAAGGTAAGATCTCAGACAGTTCTATCAAGTCTGTAGGTACTTCTTACTGACGAGTGCCACTTAGAACAAAATCTTGGTCTAGGAATTTTTGCCAACTTTCTCTAACTATTTAGACAAAATGAAAAAAATCAAGTTTCGTTAAATTAAGAAGAGCAAAGTAAACAACTAGATCAGAACAACATGAATTCCATTTATTTAACAGGATTTTCAGAAATGCTTTGAGACCTTTAACATTCAAACAGTTTTATAATTATAAAATTAGATTTATATATATATATATATATATATATATATATATATATATATATATATATATATATATATAAATCAATAGGACTTTGATTAATTGAACAGTTTTGTCCATATGATCCACAGCTTTCTATTACTAATCTTGGTTTAACTCGTTTTTCGGATGTGATTCAGTCTTTACTAGCCAACTGAATTACTTCGAATTCTTATCGGATATTAACAGAGCTTTTTAATAGGATCCCCCATAGCCAGAATAAAATACTAGAATAGTCGTTAAAGTATATGTTTGAGTTCTATCTGGTATCAATATAACCAGGTGTAATTAACAGTTTCAGTATTCAGAGGTGTATCATTAAAATTCTTGACTTCCTTTACTTTTATAGTTAATATGTATTTATCAGTAGCATTATTACTGATATCACTCTAACAGAAGCTCAAAATTTATACAAGTATAACTTAAAATTGCATGAAGCAAGCTAGATTAAATTTTTTTTGTTTAAGAGTAATTCATGTCAGAAAAAAATTGTTTGTTTCTAGTAAAAGCTATTTGAATGAAACTATTTGGTTAAGACTAATGAACTTAAAACCCTGGATAATTGTACACTACCTTACTGGTAATCCTTTCATATCACTTTAAAGTCATTGCTTTCAAAGTCATAAAACTCACACAATCATACTCGTTATGGAAGAGAAAACGATTCGATCTGGTACATGATCACTAAATTCACCTTATTACTAAAGCTCAGTGGATTCGAATAACCGTCTCTTGGTGTAAATTCACTCATTCTGAATAGATGAATAGCAAATATTATGTTTAATAGATCCAATAAGAGTATTTTATTATGAAGGGTAGTTTTAAAAAATTTTTAACTGAAAAAGGGTTTGTAGAATAGTGTGATAGTGTTCATGCAATGACTTGTGGCTTCTTCGTTGCTCCAGGTTCTTTTTTATACACTGTAACAGGGTTTAAAATTTTCCGACCAACCCTTGTTAAACTAAACTTCACATTGTTCATCATTACATCGTTAAAATCAATCACACTTGATATTAAATAAGTATGGAATCTAAGTATCATTGTACTAACAGCTATCAGGAAAGTGAATGTGACATTATTTGTTCTTTTTAAATTTCACAGACTAATTTTCCGTAAACACCAATTTTAATAGAATAGGGAGTTTGAACCTTACCATTTAAATATCCTTTCAGACTTACACTAATAATAACAGCGCTAGATATTTTTGATAACTTTGTCTCCCTTATTTACTCCAAATCAGAGGATACTAGTTATGATTTTTTAAAAGCCGGAAAAGTTCAGAACCTACTAGACAATCAAAGCCTTCGGTAAACCTACATTCTCACTATTCTCGACAGATGCTCAATTTACTTGTTTAGCTGTTTAGTCAAGCACAGTTTACAATCTTGACATTGTTTCTAACCCTGTGCAATAATTTCTGTTTTATTTCTATGTACAGTAATTTAAATTCAACAATGTGTCACTTCTATCTTTCCTATTCGAGGGTCAAAGTTGAAAACGGTACTATGATGAAATAACACATGATTGTTTCAGTTTTTAAAAATTCTGCTTCCCGCTTATTTAGATATCTAAAAAAAGATAGATTTAAGATTTATCATTTTATTTTATAAGGTTTTGTGACATTTTACTATATATACTATGTTACAAGGAAGAATATTTGTATTTTCTGTGTTATTAAAGATTGATAACATAAATTAAACTCTCCTTTGTTATACTTATAACAGGCAAATAAAACAACAATCACTTTGGAGATAAATTAAAATATGCCACTACTTTTAATGGCTATTAATTTTCCAACTGTAAACATTTTTAAAATTTTTGAAAGTATAAAGCTTCTTTTTGTTATTAAGTGTTGATTTTTAATACTCGTAATGTATACCACTTGGTCAAAACCTTTGAGTCTACACCAATTTCGGCGTAGTATTGTAATGCTGTACTCTAGTTTCATTTGTGTGACTAACTCATTTTAAAACAGTACAGATATTTCAGAACTAAGGTATATAATATTCTTCATGTCATGTCATGTTTCTAATCAAGCAACATTCATCAGTCTTAATCAGAATTAGATCCTCTCATAGACAGATAACATTGACTGGAACTTTAGAAATTCGGCTTAAACCGAAAAACCAGTTACAGAATAATTAGTATTTCGCTAGTTACTAACAGCTAGACGCCATGAATTACTAGTGCCATTTAAGTTTATGTTGATCACTACTGTGACAGACACAAGTTTTGGATTCAGTTCAGAATCGGAAACAGCACATCTGAGCTTTTAATAATCCTTATCAACACAACTGCTTGTATTTTTCATTTCGATTTTAATGTAGTAGCATCTTTATTTACCACAAAACATTGTTAAACTTATTAAATTGATTTGACTATATGCTAATTTTCTTAGGTTTCATACACAAATCGATAAGAAACGTATCCTACTCACCACCATATGCCGGTTATACACACTTTCATACTTCATTATAAATTCGGTCAATTGCATTATTTTTGGTGACCGTTTGTTAAGTGAAATATATTTTGCGTTTAAGAAACTAGTTTGATGATTCATTTTATGCAATCAAACAAAATAATATCGAATCTAATTCGATGAAAAGCTAAATGTTTCGTGAACATTACTCACTAAAGCCCAAAAAATCAGTACGATAATATGTCTTAACTTCATTAGATAAGAAGTTAACTAGTGAATGATTCAGCGAAACAAAGAAAACAACCAAATTTTGTTTAGCTAAATGGATAGTCATTACTCTACAAATCCAGCCTTTAAAAATATGAACCATTCGATTAGGATTCAGTGACTGAAATGTTTCATGTTTACTGTACAATCAATTGTCTCTTGGTTCATTTTCATAATGGAGTACAAGAATTGTAGTTGTATTGGAAATAAAATTCAAATAAAAACTGTTTTTTAACAGTTCAAATTTATTCCAAATGAGATAACCTTTGATTTACTGGTTTTTTGTTGAGTTTCATTGAAATCATGCAACAGATAGGGAAAATGAAAAATATCATGCATTCACTAGTGAGTGACTAGCGTTGTGAGGAAATTTCTCTTAGTTATTATAGTCAGAAGTCGTGACCCAGTGGAATTCAACTCTGTCTGGTATGAAGCCTCACTGGTATATGGAGGCTAAGCGTCCGCGCGTGAAACTAAACGTCTTGGGTTTAATTCCCGCGTGCAGAGTTCTAGTTCCATACTAGGACGAAACGGTCATGCCTTGCTTTCAGGTTTCTAATGCTGGTCTAACATCAACCGATTCATGATTTCAATTACTGAGTTTAAGGGTACTTGCGAATAGTTTGTGCTCATTTACAGGTGTATCTACCTGATAGGGGTCACAGATTACATTTATATACAATAAAATATAAGATAAATCTGTTTTTTTTTTGAAAAAAAAAATGAAAATTTATTCCAAATAAAAAATAATTTAACTTACATCAATTGTTCTTAATTCTGGCATGATACTAAAATAAAAAACAATAATTTTAAGAAAACAAAATGAATTGTTTCCAAACTGTCTCTTCTACATTAACAACAACAACAAATAATAATAGTTACATGTTGTTATAATTCAAAACATGATGATAGGAGACTGTTTTTCACCAAAAATGAACTCAATTGTTTAGTCATAATAAAAACTTTCATAGATTTTCTTTTGAACTGGGTCATAATTTACAGGTAGATTAATTCCATAAGCAAGACTATTTGAAACTACTTAACTATCTTCATTTAAAGTAATTTTATTGAGTTTAAGGGTAGCCGGTGCATAGATTATTTTCAAACAATTATTCACATGTTAGATTTTATTCTCATACTTTTTTATTTCAACTGGGGGTTACGGTGTGAATAGTCAGATTTTTTTTTCTATTTTTAAAAAAAAAGAAGAAAAATAGATCAGTTTAAAATATGCTAATTTATTTCAGAACTATCATCTTTTCTAAAATGTGATTGTGAGTAACTAAGCGACAAAAATCATAGTGGACATTGTCTGTAAATTTACATAAACATTTGATTTGGTCATTTTTTCTAACAACACAATCGTCATAGTATTTAAAGTTTCATCCAAAAAAAAAACCAACTAATTTTTCAATAAAACGATAAGCGTTCAATGCCGCTTTGAATATACTCCTTTTATTTTAAAAACCATTGGTTATGCATATAGCCGGATGTTTTCTTCAAAAATTTGAGAATTTATGAGTTTGATGCTGTGTAAGACTGTAAATGCACACCCCTTATTGGTTCTATGCTAATACTAAGTATTGATTGACTATAATCTGATTTTCAACTGATGTCGATTCTTAAAGAATATTTTAGGGATAAAGAGAAGTTACAAATTAACAATAAAGCAAATCCGTTAAACAATTAAACAGAATAGGTTTATGTGCTATTTTTGAAAAATTCATTTATTATGAAAACAAAATTTAATTTGAAGTGTCATTCAGTGTCTCGAGAATAATATGAAATATATATTTCTTTTGAATGATTTGTAGCGTGTACAAACAAATATGTCCAACACACGGGACTTGTCACAGACTTTAGACAAAAATATTTTTAATCTATCCGAACATCTTTCGATCTTGTCTATTATTCGCTCATATTTTAGTTGTTTTAATTCGAGTGTGTCTATGTGTATACTACTTACTTTGCGAATCATATGTACGGCCTATTTTTATCTGACTGTAAGTACTTAGTCATTCGTCATCTCATTACGTTGTGTTGGGAACGTTAGATCCCCCAGAACTCACTTGATAAAGGTCCCAATTTTTGATTTGTTCGTTTTAGCGCATGGGCTGATCAGTTGACTTTGAGATGTCGGCTGTTATTGATTGATGTATTATTTTAGTACGCTATTTTTGTGGCTCTCCCAAAGACTTTTCTATGATGTAAAAATAAATCCAATTTGTGTGCTGAAAAACTTCAATTTTCGGGGTGCTGGTAGAATAAACTTTCTACATTTTGTCAAGACTTCTTCATCTACTTAGTGGGGCATTGAGACGTTTGGATTAGAATAGCTTATCCTGTCACTGGATCATTTGTCTTCGCTCTCGTTTACCGACTAAGGTGAACTCGTAATAGTTTCAAGCTTATCAGTTGACAATTATAACAGGTTTGCTCATTCGCCTTGACTTCGATTCGGTTTGATGCTCTATATTCTCGTAACTGCCTGCATGAACGGTTGCCTGAGATAAATTCATTCAAGTTCATTCATATGTACCTCCTTACAACTGCCGTCGCACAAATGGGGTTCGCCTAAGTATGATATACGGAAATTGAAGGGAAGGCTTATTTCATAGCATACTCGTTCGTTCGTCCAAATCGGAGTCAGGTGGCGGGCCACTAAATTGGCGAGCCCTACTTCGAACATAATGCAGCCACCAAAAACTATGTTTTGAAGTTTGTTTACTAAGAGTTGATTAGAAATTGTAAAGTACGTTATTTATTTCAGTATCTATCACTTAAATGTGATTTATTTTAACGGTAGACTATTTTCAGTGTTGTGGAGGAGTTTCATTCTCTGAGCTGGAAGTTTTGGTTGGGTCTTATTAAGTGATTTATATAGTAATGATAAATAACAGGTTCAAACCTAACTTAAGATAACTACAATGAAATATAATTATATTCAGCTGAAAGTTTTCAAGTATAGAACTTTTAATTTAACAAGTAAAATACTAGTATAACAACTTATTGTTTGGTTTAGCAATTTGTATTCTGTAAATTGTTGAAATGTCGATAATACTGTGTTGGATAAATTTCAAAAACTGTAAAACCATAATTTCTTTTAGTAATCTTTATCGATTTGAACTACGAAATTCGCATCTTAGAATGGTTCACACTAATTATTGTTTTGGAAAACGTCATATTTAGATGACTGTAGGTGGTTTGGACACTAAAAATACAGTTTAAAGACCATGCGACTTAGTTTCAAGTACAGGAATCAACTAAGAATGAACTTAAAATCATATTACTCCCTAATCCTTATGTTTAGTTCAAGATAACAATCACAGTCAGGGTAATATCGAGATGAAAAAAAATACGTAATTCAATGTACTTTTTAAAATGATTCTTAATCTCAGACTTCTTGATTGTATATAATCTTTCGAAATTTACTTAATGAAAATCATACTATACTGAAATGGCCTATTCTTATTTTATAGTGTTCATTTGTCAATCGTTGAAAAGAATAGCTCTTTCTCACTAAGTTGTAAAGAATTTTATTTCAAAAACCTACATAGCTTTACTAAGGCAGACGATCTGTTTAGATTGTCTAACTTAAAATTATCAATATGACTTAAAGAACTGTTGAAAAATAAGGAACAGACAGATGTTTCTCCCTAGTTTATGACTAATTCAACAGCTTAAATAAACCTGTGACAATACACTTGATCAAAAACAAAAGTCTTCTAGTTTCGAAAATAATGTGATACTAATCAACCGATGGCTTATCTTTGTAAGGTTGGTCATTTCGTAATAAAAATGAAACCTAATACTATAAGTGATACATATGTCTCACTTCTTTTGGCCAGGGGATTCTTCATTAGAACTTCAGGAACTCAGAGAGAAAATAAATATGGGTAAGTTAACTGTTTTGACCTATTTCATAGTTTCTACAAATCAGCAATGGAATCAATAAGCTTAATAGAAAACATAAGAAAAACTTTCTCATGCTATGCGGTTGTTCGATTTTTCTAATGGTTTATGGTATTCTTATACTCGAGACCAGAGTATATGTAACTGAGAGTAGCAAGGGAATCTTATTGAGAATATATGTAGGTTTGTTCTTGAATATACAACTTTTATCTTAGAAATCAAAGTCTTATTTTAACTATTGGATTATGTCACTTTCTTCAGAGGATCAATCCAAAACTTTTAACCAGTAGTGTGCACTAATCATTTGGTCTTTTTGGTTGGCTTAGTGCAATAATTTCATTAAAGCATTACAACATATGCCCTATTAGGATTAGGGTTTTTTAATTAGATATATTTCAAATGTAAGGGTTGTTAACCGCTATCGTACTGCACTTGGTAATTTCTTGATTTGTGTTTTGATTTTTATCTGACGGATAGTTTCCAAATCAAATTAACATTGTTAGCAATGGTGTATAATGGCCAGCAGTGAAATTCAGGACCCGCGTTTCTGCCTATATAGGGCTCGTCAGCTGGATCTACCAATTTCAGTTTTAAACATCAATGTGAAGACTCATATAACCAATACAAATGAAATTAACATTTCCTACAAACTAATTACAATGTTGTTTGAAGACACCTGTAGAATAATGAATACTGAGATGAGTCATTTTGTCTGTAAAACAATCTTACAGTCCATCGTATATGATTTCCTCACTTGTAAAATAGATCAGTCCAATTTGCTTTATTCAACCAGTATAATCTAATCAACAAGTACAATTATAGGTATATCAACATAATAACTAATCTCAAATGGTTAGTATTTGTATTCATTGTGAATACTGAGGTGTACTAATGCACAGTAACATAAATTGAACTTTGATCAACAAATTACTTGTTTTGAATTAACTAATTTCTTTGCTGTGAGTTTCTTTGCTCTTCATATTTTTAAACAACACTTTATGTATGTGTTTAGGAGCAGAATATCGCTATACTATAGAAAAGAGTAAATTTGGAAGAAGAAAGATCCTACGGTTTAAAATCACCATTGTACTTGATTGAACAATGAACGTTTTATTTGAAAAAAATTCTATGGGGAAACAAGTGTTCAAAATTTTGAATAATAGAAATTATGTGATAACTTACTACTTATTTTTTTCTCTGGGAAGTAATTGGTCTTTACTGTCTAGATTTATTCAAAATGTTTTGAATCCATGTTTGAAGGTAAATTGGAGAATCGAGTTTTAATACGAAATCATTATTTTCATGCCTTCATTAGAATAATGAATCGAAAATATTCTCTCGAACCGATGAACTGAAAAATGTACTACTTACTTGGTTGTTTAGAAATAAATAAAAGCTGGGACAACACATGCACACGTATGCACACACATACACACACACACATAGAACTGTTACTCCATGTTCATGGACAAAAACGACCAATCATGGTGAAATGATTTTATTGAATTAAAAATTATTGAACAAAGACAATAATCAATTGGTTGTGCTCGTGAGATTGTAAAATATTGTTTTTACTCTACTCTAATCTATTCCTTCTATTGAATAATTAATAATTCAGCTAGTGTTCCAAAGTATATTTATATTGATGATTTCAAATGTGTAAAAACACTAATCTCCATAGCTCGAAACTGAAAATATCGTAAAATGTGCTCACTAGTGACTAACTAGGTTCGTGAAGAAATTCTCGGAGTTCTAGTGAGAATACGTGACCAGTTGTGTAGGCAGTAATTAACAAAGATAAATGGGTGAGGTCGCGCGAAATCCTTAGACCAATCAGAGTTAGAAGTTAATACCGTTGGATGCCGGCCCAGTGGTCCGAGGTGAGGCGTTCGCACAGAATACCGAAGGTCCCGGGTTCGAGTCCTGCGAGGTGCAAGAGTCATGGATACGCACTGCTGATGTGTGCCATACGAGGACGAAACGGCCATCCAGTGCTTCCAGGTTTCTAATAGTAGTCTAACAATGATTGATTGATGATTTCAAATGTGTCAAAAAACACTAATATCCATAACTCCAATTGAAAATTGAATATTTATATGAAAATTTTAATTATAAATTCATGTCAGTTAAATAAGAATGAAACAAAGTAAAACTTGTAAAGTCGTGTGTGTGAGTTATTCCATTCAGAAATGAGTTGAGAGAATAGGTATGTTTTTTTTCGATTAGCTTGTTTATTGCGTTACCATAGAACATTTTAGATTAAATCTAATGTTTAAGAAAATTCAACACACTACTAAACTATAAATAGACAAAATCTAAATAATCTCTGTGTTCATAAGGTAGTGAATTCTGTTTTCCGTTAAACATAGTCAACCAGACATACGTACGTATATATAACTTGCTTAAAAAAATGAATAATTATCTCTAAGGTCTCCTCTGAACTGACTGAAACGTTAGACAACCGATCTAACTTGTTCGCTGAGAAAACACCAATCAATGATCGATACACAAATCTGTGCTGTGAAACTCCAGTGACCACCTATGGCTTGATTCACATCAGTTTCATTGAAGGCATTACAGATAAACTGCATTATTGATAAGTAACTCGAATCAGAACAATAAATCAAAGCTTCTTTACGAAAAATACTCACTGATATTAAAATTTCCAAACGTAGTTTATTTCAGGAACTAATTATTATTTAAACTACTTGTTTATTTATTTTGCGTGTATTTTACTCAACAAACTATATTTAAGAGTAAATAAACCTTTACATCAGTTTATTGATATACGAAAAAGATTTGTGCTTATATTATCATCACTTTCATTGAATTTCGCTTTACTGAATAAAATTGGCGGCCAGAAAAAAGTCAGTCGATTATAAACAAAATGTCTGATACTTGAATGAAATATTTCAGGAATTTAAAAAAAAACACGAATCATCACGGTAAGATTCATTTTTGAAGGGTTTTTTTTGTGAAAATCCCTCCATATATACATTTGTTGATTCCTACATTTGTACATTTTTTTAGTCTGTTCGATTTCATTTTGAGATGATAATAATTGTATTTTATTATAGTTTCTATTTCTTCTGCCTCTACTGAGTTTCTATGTTTGTTTCTGAACTGCATTTATGTTGTTTAAGCCGATACTTAGTCATGGCAACAACCATATTGATTTGTGTCTCCTTTGATTGAGTTGCTTGAATTAACTAGAATTGTGCATTTTGATTGTGAATTGAAGCAGTCTTCCAGAATCGGAAACACTCTGTGTTATAAAGCAACCAAATATTATCTGTCGAACGAATTTGATCTATCCAGGAGGGATAGAATATCATTTATCTGCTGATGTGGATTTGATCAATTGAACAATTGATGGTGGAATAACTGATTGGTAATGTAAATTTATATTTATGATGAATATTAGACGCGTTATTCACCCAAATCACTTGTTTTGGTTTTAAACTGGGCAAGGCGCTTATCTAAACTATACCTAGACAGTTATTCCTCAATCTAAACCTCAGAAATGGATCCAATAAATCACTGAGATTATTAATCAGATTCATAATAACGTTAATAATAAATTCAATATGAATGTGGGTTTGGAAAAAAATGTATCAAAACATACATACATACAGTCTTAAATTTGCAATCAGACAGTTAAGCAGTAATTTTGTACTAGCAACATAATGTTACAAATAATCTCAACGTCTTAATTCATAAATAATATATATATATATATATATATATATATATATATATATATATATATATATATAGATAGATAGATAGATAGATAGATAGATAGATACTTTTTGTGTGCGAGTAGTGAGTGGATTTACTTATTGATTTTCATAATAATGTAAGAATTGTGCATATTTCAAAAACAAAAAGAATTATAACAAAGTTGATGTGAATAACAAAATGCAGAGCATTTAAAATAATCGAGTAAATAAATTCATCATTGAACTGTAGTAATGCATTGTGATTGTTTCAATAATTATTTATTTTGAAAAATGACATTTATTTACTCTGTAGAGAGATTTGTATGGTTTAGAAAAACACCAGTTTAACACTATGAGCTAATGAACTAGGTAGCTAGCAATCGATATAGCCTCAGCGTTGGGCCTGGCAAAAAAAATACTTTTGATTAGGGGAAATCAGAAAAACTTATACAAAATGAATTGAGTGGAAATTTTCATTAGTTCCAATGTTTGGTCATTTTTAAAAACTGAAATAACTTTTGAGCGATGATTAATCCTGATAGAAATATATATTACTGAAGATATCCAATTAAGTGCTAGTGAATCTGTGTCACCACTAGTATTTACTAATACTTAAACGGTTAAGTATTCATTCCTTAACAGTTGCTGACGCAAAATACCTCGGATTCGTTGGCAAGACAACATCAGTAACAGCCAGCTGTATGAAAGAACAAACCAGATTCCAGTGGAGGAGGAAAATGGGAAGAAGCCGTGGAAGTGGGATAGGACACACACTGCGAAAAGCACCTAACTGTGTCACAAGACAAGCCTTCACATGGAACCCTGAAGAACAAAAAAAAAGACGAAGGCCAAGAAACACATTACGCCGAGAAACAGAGAAAGTCATGAGAAGAATGAACAAAAATTGGACAGAAGTGGTAAGGGAAACTCAGGACAGAGTTGGTTGGAGAAAATTGGTCGGCGGCCTATGCTCCATTGGGGGTAAATAAATTAAATAAACGGTTAACTACAACTTTCAGTGACTTTGTTAAATGCCAAATACGATATTAAAAGCCTGTCCTTTTATTTAATGTTATCATATGAAATATAAAAGAATGATTTATGTTGAAAAACGGCTCAACAGTAAATAAATTTACTTAATTTGAATACACCAATATTTATAGAAAGAGGTGAAGAAGTAAATAAGCGCCAAAACAATAATTATTTTTAAAATATAAGGATAAATAAAACAAGAATAATATTCAAACCATATCAAACACTAACTAAATGTACATGAGTAAAACTAACAATATTTAACAACGTTACTGTTAGGATATTCATCCAATATCCTAATAGAATTACATGTAAATCTAATTCTATTAGTCAATTCCTATTGGTTGATTTCTATCGGTCGTCCTAACCATTAGTGTCACATACTTCAATGTTGTTTCCTATTCGACATAACTGTATAAATATGCATTATCTGTAACTTTTGATGACCAGGATCCCTAGTCCGAGATGCTTATCCTCTTCTGGACTCGGACCTCGTACTTTCTGGATGTTTGTAGAATACATGTTCTACTTCATGTCAAGTCTTATTCTTTTACTCAACGGGGGTTTGGGACACTCGAATTAGAGTAGCCTGTCGTGTTGCTGGATCATGGTATGTCGCTCTTGTTCACCGACTAGGGTGAACTCGTAATAGTTCAAGCATATCAAATTGACGTGTTGACGTGCATTCGTAACAGTTACTTAAGATTTTTAATAATTGACGCATTGCAGCGCGAAGAACGAAACACCAAATATAATATATTTGCATCAAACTTGTATGGTCTATTTTCAGTAGTTTCATAAATTTTTATCACGTTTCGATTGTAAAAGACAACAGCTATCAAGGAATTAAAAATGGAAAGATTATATATGTTTCTAAGTTTCATCGTTTTTGTGAATTGAAAGACAGAACGATGAAACGCATATATATTCAAAGAGATATTTTACTAGATAAGATTGTAATTTAAAGTATATTGGATTGATCCCGCTATCGATTTCATCAGTAATTTACGTTTAAAGAATTGTGTAGTTAGATAAATTCAATTCACTCATCTCGTACTGTTAACATATACGACAATGAGAATTAAACCTATGAGAAAATCATGAAATTGTACTTATGAATTATACAACAAACGTCCTTACATTTTATTTAAAATGTTCAGAAAAAATAACACAAATTATTGATGTAATTTGAAACCACTTATTCAACTGTAAGCAAAGCTGTACTAAAACTTTCATCTTTCGGTGATATTAGTTTCAAATCAAATGAAACATTCATGTGAATTGTATTAAGTTGATAAAAAACATGATAATCAACTGATTAGTTATAAGGACTAAGATCGAAGTTTGTAGGAATTACACCACTGGAAATCATTACATCATATCAGAGAAGTTGGCGGTTTCGAACGCCCAAAAGAAGCCTTTATTTATGAAGTTACAATTCAACGGAGATGTGGCCTGCGATACACTGCAGGACAGATTTATAAGAGTAATTAATAGAACATTCAACGCTGCCAAACTTGCATTGACATTCTCCAGTCGACCAGCGATGTCTACCCGAACGAAGAATAAGTTACTTGAGTTAGCCTCTATGTGCATTTGCAAATTCAGCTGTTCCTGTGGAGATAGCTGTATCGGGCGCACTTCCACGCAACTTAACCAACGAATGAGTGAACATCTCGCAGCATGGTTTACGAAGGGTCAGTCAAAAACAATCCGCAGTTCTATCTTAGCACACCTACTTAATAGTGGTCGTATTGTAGATAAGTCTAGATCTTTTAGGTGATCTATCGTATACCTCCATCATTTCCCAACGGAGTTAGATCCCGTCTCCTACACATTGCAGAAGCCATAGGAATACGTACATTCAGAAGAAATTCGTGACACCCCTATCTCTTCCGCGGCCGGATATGACGTAACTAACGACTGACATTATATTTTTTATTTTTACACATTTGCTTATTACGTAATGGTTTTGATGTTTTTAATGATTATTTGAAGTCTATTCATCCACGTTTGACCTACTATTGACAAAACTTTAGTTATCATATTTCATAATTTTCTTCCTACTATCAGTACACCTGTCTTAACACTATCCACTTGTTTTTTTGCCTATTATATGTAGTGACGTATTCTTTTTCATTTCATTGTGATTATCACTCAAATTGCCTTGATTGGTTTAACATTTTCATATAAATATTCATGTGTATTAGTAGAGTAAAGCCTGATAACGATCTAATCGAAAACAATATTTTCGCTTATATGTGTTGTTCTATAGATAATTTTGACATTTTCTAAATTTATTGATTTAACAGTGTGATCAATGTAAAATTAAATAAATTTTTTGCTTCTAACAATCTCGGTTTCCACCATAAGGCGTCATAACTTTTCTAAACAAAAACTTCAACATCCAGGGGAAAGTTAAAGTGTTTGAAATGATCCTTTAATGGTTAGTGTTTTTGCAACAGTTTTTTTCTAGGAAATAGGGTTGCTAACCCAACCAACAACCAACCCTTCTCCTTTATCTGGACTTAAAACCGACAGTAAATTCAAAACGGGTGTAGGCGGGCACTGCTTTATAAATATTCTATAGTTTTTTAAACTAAATAACTGTTCAGTTTTATCGATCTGTTGACACAAAGTAGTGTGACGGTAAAAAAAAAATGAACGATTCAACCTGAGCTTCAAGAATTTTAAGTTAGCTCATTATTGAAAATAATTATTTCTGTGAGTACTTTCATACAACAAATTATTTAGCTCCTTAAGACTGTTTATGTACAAGGACATTAACCTCACCAATAACAACGAAGAATGAAAGATCCATGTTCACATTTTCAAAATTTATTTATCATTTCAAAATATTATTTTTCAAATCAAGTACAATTGAGATCACAATAGATAGTCATTAAAAATTGAAAGATTAGCAATAAACCTAAATATCCCATGATATTTGCGTATTTCATCGACTAAAAACTACAAACAGTAATCTTGTATATATTTTCTTATATTGAATAGAATATTTGCATTTATTCAAAACGTAACTTGCTTTTCGATTGAATACGAGTTTGAACTCCAATTGATTTGGATCGGCTAAGATTGATAGATTGCAGAAAAAAAATGGATAGTAATGAAATTCATGCATAAACAAAAAAAAGCGAGAGAATGTTATGCACAGTAAATCAATTTCAAGAATTCTACAAACTAATAAAATAGTAATAACCTATTGTGTACTGATTTACAATGCTTTACGGACCCGAAATATTGACAACTTGTTGGACTATACCAAGAATTTTATTTATATAATTGTTGGGTTTCCAATTGCATAAAAACCTGATTGAATTTTCATTGTCACCTCCAGTTTTAATTTGTTCTGTAAGTAATCAACAACTCCTTCTGGAGCCCTTCTGTGGTTACTGCCAGTTCCGATCCAGGAGAAAGGAGGAGAGTTGGGGTTGGAAAGCCTATCCCGTTGAAAATCAAATCGTTAAAATACGCTATCTAGAACAAATTATTCAAGCCGTTTAAACTCAGCCCTAGCCGCTGCAAAGTCTTCATTTAGAACAATCACGACGCCTAATTATGAAAACCGGGTTCCTTCGAAAGTCAAGAGGCTGATAACCCTTTTACAACCAGAACGACAGTTAATATAGGTCCATGAAATGTTCGTACATTGTGGGAGGCCAGGAGAACTATTTAAGTTACTGAGGAAATGAAAAAAATACAACCTGCTGGTGTTTAGAATAATTGAAGTACATTGGACACAGGCCTCATGAGAGAGGCTGTTTTACTCCTGCTATGAAGAAAAAGATACCTCATACACAAATGGAATTGCATTGATGCTGTTCAAAGCACAAACAGCACATCTATGATGGGAATCTCATGAACCAGGGATTACCAAAGCATTCTTCAAGACAAAGAAAGAGAGTATTAGAATGAATGCCATGCTATTCGCCCATCAAAGAATGCAATGTAAACGATAAAGAACAATCCTATTAGTGGTTGCAGTTGAATTAATTAGTGTTGTTTTTCATTAACAGAATATTTTCAGCAATGTGATATTTTTAGGACAGTCAGCAATAATAATAAAAATTATCATTGGAGTGTTTAATATTCTGCTTCAGTTCCATTACTTTGTAGATCTTTCAAAGAACTAACCATGTCGGTTGTTTAGTTTTGAAAAGAACACATCAACAAACTAATAAACTCATATATAGACTTTCTTTCACAAATAACTCTTACTGACTACATTATAAAATTACATATCATCATTATTATCATATACATGAGTGTTAACATCCTCATATTGGCGAATAAATCTGATCATTTTTTGTAAGAGAATGTAGATTCTTTGAGCAGGCAGACTGAAATGAGTTATGGTAACAATAACTATGTTGAGATGTAAGATGCTTGTTAGAGGTAGTGAAGAGAAAACCCTGAATCCAGGTTTCAGCTCGGATATCGAGGTGGCAGTATCTCTGGCTGTAAAGCTGTGTAGCAAGCGAACGAATCCACCAGCGATCATCAATTTCCTCAAGATTATGTGGACACTTTGCTGACGAGTTCCAAATATCACGAAACCTACATTCATGATTTGCTGGAGACTATCTACAATCACCAACACATAGTGATTTATTTTAACTTCATTGTGTGTATCTTTGTGTGCTAGTGATGACAGACACTTGAAGTTAATCCTACGTTGCAAAATCTATGTATCTACGCTTTCTATTTGTACACATCCTACGGTACTTCACCTGTAAACTCAGTGAATTGTTCAGATATTTAAATCATTGTCACCTCCATCAAAGCTATAGATATTAATAGCAAGCCATACAGAATAGAAATCTGAAAATATAACATTGTCAAAAACAAGAAAAACCTATGTTTATAACTTCCTACCAGCTTTAATCAAATAGTTAAAGTCGTAACAAAGCATCACGGTGTTTAGGCGTCCTACAATAGTTGTCTTCCTGGACCTAAATGCGGCATTTGACTCTGTAGATAGTGAGGTTCTGTGGCAGTGTCTGTCTTTGAAAGGTGTACCAAAGAAGAACATTAACCTCATACAAGCTCTCTACTCGAAAACCACTGGTCGAGTGAGAGCTTATGGCAAACTGTGATCGGAATTCTTTACTTCACGTGGTGTTCGTCAGGGATGTCCACTCCATCCATTCTTGTTTAATTTTATCATAGACATGCTCCTAGAAATAACCTTATCTTCGTCTAAATTTTCTGGAGTAGACCTTCTACCAGGAAAATCGCCTGTTGACTCAGAATATGCCGATGACATAGTTCTATTTGGTGAAGACGCTGACAAAATGCAGAGTCTTCTGACCACCCTAAGAAACAATGCAAGCATGTTCGGGATGCGGTTTTCCCCCTTGCAACTTCACCGGGACCAGTGATAGGGAGTGGAGTAGTCGAACGTGTAAACCACGTAACGTATCTGAGGAATCTCATCAGTGCCGATGGCCTGGTGACTGACAAAATCTCAGCACGGAAACAGAAGACTCGATTGGCTTCTGCCAACCTGTGTCACTTATGGCGCAAGCGAGATATCCGTTTGCTAACCAAAGGACGAGTGTACTGTGCAGCAGTTCACTCCGTCCTACTATACGGATGCGAAACATGGCCGTTAAGAGTAGAGGACTTCCGTAGGTTACTAGTCTTCGATCATCGATGTCTCCGAAGCATTGCTCGTGTATCGTGGGACAACCGAGTAAGCAATGCTATAGTTAGGAAACGAGTACTAGGTAAGGATGGCAGATCAATAGATAAAGTGGTGAAACCTCATCAGTTGAGGTGGTTGGGACATGTGTTACGTATGACTAACCGCCGACTGCCGCGACGAGCTATGTTTTGCAGTGTACGAGTAGATTGGAAAAAAGCTAGGGGCGGCCAAACCAAAACATGGCACAAATGCATGAAGTCACTGACTAGTGGACTGAATCATGTTGGTAGATGTAGGCTATCTAGTTGGGGTCCGCGAGACGATTGTCACCGATGGTTAGAGACCTTGAATGTCATGGCTCACAATCGTTTGCAATGGCGCAGGTGCATCCACTCTTTATGTTCTCTCTAATTCTAACCTTCTGAATTCTTCATAATCTCTAACTTTCTCCTTCTAAATTTATCTCAGTGAATTATACTTCTCGAATCATATCTTCGCTCCCTAATCTTCTCAATTACTGCTAATATTTCTACTATCGCTATCACTGTTGGATTTGAACTAACAGTTGCGTCTCTGTGCTGATGTGGTATGGCAACCTGAACTGATGTACCTACGTGCGAAGTTCTGCGTTGTATCTGTCTGTCTGTCTATCACAGTGTTTATTTAATCATCTTGTTATGTAATTTTGGTTTATTAAGTTCCGCACAGAAAACTAGCAACATGTTTCGTGTTTCATTTATTTTATAATAAAATATTTAAATTTATTTGAATGATGTTACCTTTCATTACTGTAATCTGGAATATTATCAGTTAATTTGCGTCTACAACTTGCAATTCTTTCTCTTTTTCTCAATGAACTCATATACTCCTTCTTGGATAAGATTTTCAATGATGGCGGTGGAATAAATTTCAAATCACCTGGTTTCAAATAACCACCATGTAAATCAATTGGTGTGTTCTTTAAACATTCAATCCAATTTATTTGATTTTTTGCTAAAATATCTGTGATATGAAACAATAATAAAATCAGTAGTATTTTTTTACATAACTTTTATATGTATATAGAGTTCGTATGACTTTATTATCATCTGTATCAAGATGTTTGTAATTATAAAATGTATATTGTAGTAATAGACGAAACCATCGATGCAAACTGTCAAGACAGTTCTACTGTATGGCGTGGAAACTTGGAGAACCATAAGAGCCACCATCTTTAAGATACAGTTGTTTATTAACAGTGATCTACACAAGATACTGAGGATCCGTTGGCCAAACACCATCAGCAACAACCTACTGTGGGAGAGAACAAACCAGATCCCAGCAGAGAAAGAAATCAGTGTCCAGATGGACACTAACTTATTCGATGAGTATGATATAAAGTGAACTAGTTAGTGGCTACCTGGAATCAGTGGTCAAGTGAAAAATGATTTAGGCTTTGTAGTGAAAGTTACTGTGTTCAAGTAAAAAATTTTAAGATTACCACTGAGACTGACAGGTAGTGATCCTGAAATGGAATAAAATGCACTTTCTTGTTCACTCCAGTGTTAACCACAATCCATCCGTTCCGTAAACTTTTGAACAAAGCCACTACATCGAGGTAATCCATGCACACATCAACAAAGATTAGTTGAAATTCAGTACTGAATATTCAACAACAATATAATTCACACGTTTGGTAAATTTAGTTTCTACTTTCATTTAATAACTAGACTGCTGCAATGTTAATATTGTATTCAATAACTACATCGATTTTTTTCATCTCAATAGATAATTCATTAACTCCGCCTGTAGATCTTCTAGGGTTATTGCCAGTCCCAAGCCCAGATAAAGAAGAAGGGTTGGGCATGGGGTTAACGACATCATTTCACAGAAAACCAACTCACTAAAACAACGCTAACCAGAAAAAAAATAATCCGAAAGTAAGATAATTCATTATCACGAAGGTGTAATTATCATGTTTTACGAATCGTTAGTCCTGACTTTACAATTAATTTTATGACATTACGTATCATATTACAGGAAAATAAAAAATATCTATACAAATCAAACACAAATGTTGTCTGTCTTGTTTTAAGCGAAAACTTATTCATAAACTTTATACATTGAAAATGATTGAAACATTTCGATTTTACGTACAACACACATGAAGATATCGCGTTACAGAATGCTTTATGTTATGAATTTAAAAATTTAAAAACGATTATATAAAAGTAATACATCTATATCATCTTACGATTCATGTTAGAAATTGACAACTGTTATGGACTAAATGTATAAATAAGATGAATAGAATCTAGAAATGTATAAAATTTGAATATATTTCAATTATTTTATGAAATTAGCACCATTAAATAGGTTATGATAATGTTCTAATCTTGAATAACATCAAACCAACTAAAATCTTCATTCTGAGCAATAAATCTTAACTGTTATACATTTGGAGTTAAGTAGAAAAGGGTGAAATAGAATTACGAAAATTACATTTGAAGATAGTGTCCAGCTCAAGGCTTTTCAGCTCAATTTTCCTGCATCCCACTGTTGGTGTCCATTATGAAATGCAAACTAAATATATTATTGTATTGAGTTCACTTTTATGTCGAGTCCACAGGGCTTGTTCCAAGCCTTCGGACAAATTAACTTATCCATTCTTCCCGAGTTATACTATTCACTCGTCTTTTGACCATGTAAACCATTTGCTTTTATAATGACTGCTTCTATTCGAGTATGTGTGTGCATCACTTACTTCGCCTACTACATGTTTAGCTTATTTTTGTCTGACTGAGTCAGGCTTCATCGGATGGAGTTGGCTCTCCGGCCTTTTCCATTCCACTTCACTTTGCTTTCAAGCTATGTATTCTCCTGTCTGTCTGCATCAACAAATGCTTGAAATAAATTCATCCAACGGAATCCCTATTTGGCTTCTATAATCACTGCTGTCTAAGTATGATATACGGAAACTGAAGCGGAAATTTATTTCATAGCCTACTTGAACGTCATAAATAAAGGAGTCCACTTACAGGCCACTAAAGTAATGAGCCCTGCATCGAATCTAACGCAGCCACTAAAACATATCGATCTACAATAATCTTATGTCATAAATGATATTTAAGTGAAGGCTATTCTCAAAATATTTTTCAATCTTATTTATTAGTAAATTTTGCCAAGGAAATCAAACCTACTTAAAATTTCTTTCCATTCATTTGAAGCTGGATTATATGATTGTAAATAAGAAGTATTAATTTGTGACCATATTTTATCCAATCTTTCCATGCTTTCTAATTTTGTACTGATCATTGATTTTCTACAATCTAGATAGATATTTTCATTCTTTTCATCAACATCTTCCGGTTCTGATATTGGCATAGTTTCATCAATATCCAATTGATAATTAGGTTCACTAATATCAGATAAATTATCATTATTAGGCTCTGCTATGGTTGTTTCTTGAATTTCATTTTCATTATCATAAAAATCTAAGAGTATTGTATCATATTTATTCATGATACAATCAGTTGAATTTAATTTATCATATAATTTAAACAAAATTTCATTTGTATTTCCATTCTCTAATTGATCAGTAGTAGTAGTATCTTCAGCTGGTTGACAAGTTTCGCTCAATGATTGATTCACATGAGTAGATAACATTGTTTGAATGCAATCAGCTGCATAAGCAATACATTCGGTTAAATGATGAATTGAATTGGAACAATCTACTGAGATTTTATTGATTTTATGTAAGTCACTCAACATCTGATCCCGTTGGTCTATTAATTCCTAAATTTATAAGGAAGAAAATAATGTGAAAATATTGTAATAGGTAGGAATTAGGCACAAGAGTTAGGTTTTTTGGTTGATTGGGAAGCAAGTGACCTATAAACCAATATTCTCCATCACTCAGCCACTTAGTATCCATTTTATTTTAAGAATCAAAAATCCATTCATTCAATCATTAAGACCGTTGTCGATAATAAAAGTAAATTGTATCTTTTCAACATTCATAAATTTACTATGCTTCATATAACGTCAAATGTATTTTTTGAAGTTTCAAAACGAATTCTCTTTATATGCTTCAAGTAAGCTCATCAATCAAAAAGATTTGTAAGTATAATCAAGCTTACTAACTCATTGTTATCACATGTTTCAAGCGTAGAAGTGACAGTATTCTAGTCAGAGTACTCAATTTTCAACCTTGGTTTGACTAGACCTCACACAAAAGTTGTTGTTTAAGGCTGAGTACATAAACTGTTCATCTGGAAGATAAGTTACATTAAAAGTTTACTGAGAATATAATGAAGCTTCCCCAACAGAGAGTACCTCTCATAACGTGAGTAACCTATATATCGTTTGATAAAAAATAACAAATTTACTTGTCAGAAGGAAGTTACAAATTTTCAGGATTTGTTCATGAAAATTCTAGGCACGCATTTTGCTTTTAACAAATATTCAATAACGAGTTTAATTAAAATCGTGGACCGATTAGTGTTAGAAGTATTGGACTACTGTTTCACTCTAGTATGGTAGTCATCAACCCTGATCTCATAAGTGGGAATCAAACCTCAGGAGTTCCATTCTAAGACGAAATGACCATCTAGTGCTTCCAGGTTTTCAACAGTTGTCTAACATTGGTCGATTCATGATTTGTATAAAAATCAATAATCCTGACAAAACTCGTCGTGATATTACATTGATACATTACCAATAGCGTGTACCTATAATTAGTCCAAGTATCGGTTGAAAATGTCCTGCTATGATTACAAAACTCTCGTTTGACAGTTATAACACTAGAATTTCAGAGGAAATATCGATAACCAACTGTTTAAAATAGAGTTTGTAAAATGTTTGAAAAAAAGTTAGAATAGACTTTATTTACACCTAATACGTATATCAATTGAAAGTGGTAGAAATAAGTGGATAAAATGAATTTGAAAAATTCTTCTAAGTAATAAATTAGCTTGTTATTTTAACAATAGCAAACTTTTAGAAATTGATCAACATGGATCATAAGTTCAGTGTAAATGCGGTTTATCTAAATTTAAATGTTAAATTTTAGGCTCTTCTTCACTTGTCTTTCTAAAACATTCTCAAATACTTCTTTTTAAATGCATCCACTTCTATTGATCTCCGGCTAATGTATATTTTGCAAAACGTGTTACCTGGCATCAACTCTCCCATACAAAAGTTGCTAAATTTCTGCCTTTTTCGGTCATACACCAAAACAAATATCTTTCAATCTTTACTCTTCGTTTTATGAAAAATTAGCCAATAGTTAGCAATGTTTTCAGAATAAAAAAGTGTTTAGTTACATTTTATGCAATCATGAACTCTGATAATGTATATCTTGATGGCATTATTCTGAGTGATTTTATTTCATTCAGACACTTATTCGCGCAAGGTTCGATTAGATAAAAGTTCAGGAACTGAAATTCACATGATTCATTGCACAAATCACACTTACTCAAAGAACTGTTTACAAAATTAATCTTTATGTTACCTAATATGTATCAACGCATGCTACAATCAAGTTAGGCGTAGTATATACCTTTTTAACTGAAAGTATTGAATGATTATTCTATTATAAATGATAATCAGGCAATATTAATAGAATCAGATTGTTTTTGCTTACTTCAACTTTTGTATTTAATAGCTGTTTTTCATGTTCTAACTCATTACATTTATTGTTTAAATTCAAATAAATTTTATTCTTTTCATCAGCTTCTTTAATTTTCTGGTCAAGTTTCGCTTGAAAAATTGATAATAAATGAGATACCTACGTTGAGGAAAGAAACAACATAAGGAGAGTAAAAAGAGAAAATGTATAAAAAGTACTTGATTGAGATCATAAAATAATCAATGCTGAACAACCATTGGAAACCTAGAAGCAATGGATGGCTGTTTCGTCCTGGTATGGGACTCCACGACGCCTACTGGAAATAATGGATGATAGTTGCGCAATATAGCGGATTGGTCCGAGTTAGACATTAACACTGGTGGATGTTGACTCAGTGGCCAAGTGGTTATGCATTCCAGCGCGGGACCGGTCTTGGGTAGTGGATGCTCACTGTTGATGAGTCCTGTAGTAGGACGAAACAGTCGTCCAACCCTTTCACTTTTCCAATGGTGATCTAACAATAATCAGTTCATGATTTTAATGAAACTCAACAAACTCCACAAACCAATACGGACAAAAAGTACTTGTTGGTACAGTTTATCAATCACACGATCAAAATATTGACAACTGTAGATTCGGAAATCAGTATTCAATGCATTCATAGGTAAATTAATCACTTTATAGAACATTTCCTCAACTTATAGGCTAATATTAAGATCATACAAAAAAGATTACAATTTATAGTTCTTTCAAGATGTTATATTGAAATCTTAGAAAAATGTTTCATTAAATACATATTGTACTGGTTTTTGGAGTGAATTCTGATTGGTTCGATTATATTTTGTGGTAAATATTGAACATTTAATTGTCTTTGATATCAATATAAAGAAACAAGAAGTTTGAACCAAAAACAATCCAAAATTATTTTTCAAAGATGTTTGAACACCAAATTATGAAATACTTTATAGAAGTAAATATTCATTGATTAAAACTTAACAAAAACATTTTAATATTTTCGTAAATGAAAATATCGAATGGCATTTTGAACATACAAAATCCTCAAGTATTTAATAGTTCTTATGAAGAGAAAAGTAATCGACTTATATTTGGGAACAAGTTTTTATGAAAAAACTTGGACAAATTGAAATTTAGATTACAACTAACAGATTCTTACTGATAGGGTGTAATGTATATTATTATAACAAGTAAAATCATCATTGATTATAAAGTAATATCGAAAATCTATAGACTAAAACAGGCTTAATGTAGTAGTATCTGTGTGAATTTAGCCTTGTACAAACTCACTTTCAGTATAGCTGAATTACGAGTACTTAATAAAATTTGTTCTTTTTCTAAATTTGTTTGTTCTTCAGTTAAGTTATAAAATTCTGTCAATAAATCAACATTTTCTCGGCTTATATCAGCTATAGCCACTGAAAGTTTCACTAATTGACCTTCAATCGAAACATTTTCAGCAAGCATACGTTTGATAGTTGGTTCTGTTCGTTGAAATGAAACAGAACGAAATTCCGAAGCAACCTAGGAAAAAATTTGTTGGACAAATAATATTTACGCATGTAATAAATATTTATTCAGGAAAATAATTAACTTCATACAAACAAAATGGTGAATAAACAAAGTTAATTTTTACTATCTACAGTGTACAGAATCGTACTAAAAATCTTCAAAGATAAGTTAGTGGAAAATCAGTACGATTTCATGTCCAAACATGATTTTAATTCGGTTGATATCTGTTACGCTCGTCACTTGCTATGCTTGAAATTATCACGAGTTCATCTTAGTCAGTAAACGAGTACAAGACAATGAACCAGTGACACGGTAGGGATACTCTGATCAGTTGCCCCAAACTAACTGACAGAAAAGTCGTGAAATAGCATAGAAGGTGTATTCTACAAACACCCAACAAACATAGTGATCTCAAGCACACAAATCGCGTTTATTTATACGTCATAGAAACGTCCTTGGGAGAGTCACAAAAATAGCTTACTAATATAACACATCAACCAGTCACAGCCAAGGATTTTCCTGGTGGGAAATGTGGTCTCAAAATCAACTCATCAGCCCATGAATAAAATCCAAAATTAAGGCCTTTATCAAGTGAGTTCTGGAGATCTAACGTCCCCAACAATATCCAACAGGCATCAGCTGGTCAACGATTCATATCGATTATATCAATGATTATCTTCAGCGTCAAGTTGCGTCCAGCAGACCGATACTAAAATTATGCTGGTCAATGTCGCCTAAAACCCAACATTATGATCGTCAAAGATCAAAATCCAATCACTAGACATTAAGCATGACTTATTCAACTATTTATTGACCTACTAAATTGTTTCATAACGTAATTGTAAAAATATTAAGGAACCAGTTATAAGAAGTAAAAACAGCTTCTAACTATTTCTCATACATGAACTATCAGTCAACAAACATTATTTCTAAAATGATTTATGCAGATTACTTGGATGTAAATTTATTCCAAAGTAAAAACTATAAAATATTTTTACCCAAGCTTATGGCCAAAATAGTTAGTAAAATATTTTAGAAAAATAAATGTTTCGTACTAATTAGTAGTATAAACATTTTCTATAAATTATTTAATGGAAGCTGTAGTTATTTCAAATAGATAGTAAAGGGATGAATATAAACAAAGAAATGAAAAACATTTGTTAAAACAAATTTGTAACCAGATACATTGAAGTGAGTGACGAAATCCAACAGGGCTTAATTAATCTCATTCTAAATGTGAGATAATGAAGAGAGATGGTTAATATTCACTCGCTCTACTTGAGCCGTTTTATGCCAAATTAGTCGATCAGTCAATAAATAAACTGCTCAAGAAGAAATCTCTTCATCGGAAAACTCAAAAACACAGTTATATTTGATGAATTAAACGCAATCCCAATTCATAAAATACATCACCGCTGGTCCGCAACACGTATGATAGTTTTCCAGTAGTAAATGGATAGTAAAAATGTAATCGGCGCATATGGAACCAGGATTGAAGTAGGCTTGCTGCTTGTGAGTTAGTCTTCAATGTATTTTGTATAATCTATGAACTACGATTAGAGCGACCAAAAATAGATTTTAAAACTTTTAATTTAGAATACAACTTGATTGAAATAAGCAATATTGTTTCAATTACAGACTTAATTGAAATGTATTTACTCAATTATTAGACAAATGACTGTTGAAACAACGGAAAATTTACCTCATTAATTTTCAATTTGGTAACTTTTTTCAATCGTCCTCTGTAGGCTAGATCTCTCTCCAGTAAATTTTCCATAGCTAACTTATGTTCATTTCTTAACTCATTTAGTGTAGATTCTAAATTATAATAATGTCTCCAAAGAACTTCACGATTTAATCGAAATTCTTCAAGTGAAGCTAATTGATTAGCTTTTTTTTAAAAAAAAAGAGGAAGAGATTAGCAAGTTTATAAATCAGAGTTTTATGAAATACAATTTTATTATATATATATATATATATATATATATATATATAGGAATTTCTTAAGCTTGACAAATGTTCATTACTACTGAAAATTCAGCTGTTTCTTCCTGGTTTGTATCACCTTAGCAATGTGCTCACATAACCGGAGACAGTAATGGTCGTCAAGTTCATGATAATACTCGATTTCTATAAGTTAACACTAACGATATGCCTCGATTTGTGTTTTAATACTGTTGATAGGTAAATAATGCCTTACTTACAATATTATTGATTAAAGAATTTTCATACTTTCATCCTTATCAACAAAAAATGAATGCTTAAATCATGATAAGAATTCGATAAATTTTAAGTTGATTCTAACCAAGGACTGATGTTAGATGTACAACTAAATACTAATTGGAAGATTGAAGCTTGTATGTATCAACTTTAGTTTTACCAAAGGTCCACCTGCTTAAAGTATAGTAGTGTGAGATTGGAAATTTTATTTTCCTAAATATTCAAATATAATTGGCTACATTGTTTCACTCAATTGTAACAACACTTCTAATTGTTGAGAATGATAATCGAAATGTAATCAGATGCATTAATACTGAGCCAACACTTTTATCAACAGAAATCAAATAGTACACCATTGTCCATCATCAAGAGAATTTTTCAAATCGAATTAATAACGAATACTTGTTCAACAAGAAATAACCATTATAGATTATTACTTTATTAAACTAATGACCAGGTATCCTAACAAATAATCACAATTATTCAAAGTCTACTGAAAACACTGCAGTACTCATTGGAGAGAAAAACACATCTGAATGTAAACTAGCCAGTTATCTAAAAAAAATGTGATGAAATTTTAAAAAAACTATGATCCTAGTTGAAGAGTAGCTAGCAGCGGGATTCGCGGGATGCGCGCTTTGTCCTACTTGGGACCCATCAGCTGAATGCACCTGCATCTCGGAGATGATGTCCATTCCAGGACTCGGACCAAGTACCTCTCGCCCCAAACGTCTTCACGTTATCTACTTAACTACCAGGGATCAGGTAATGTTTATTCAAACATCTTGTAAACTGAAGTAATGCAACCCATATTTTTCACTTCATACCAGTTGACAGAAGCTTCAAACAGCTTTTTAACTGGTTACTCACCTTTTATAATAAAGTTTTTTATAAAATCAATGATCTATTAGTAAATAAATGCTGATCTTTTTGATGTTTAGAATGTCATCAATCCACTTTTTTTAAAACAAATCGAATGAATATGTCTGTATCTACATGCTTTTTGTGTACCTAATAGGTCTACTTTAAATTTCAAACTTTCCACTATTTTACCATTTCTGTTACATCAATATTCGCTACTTCAATTACCATTTAGATAATGTAATGAGGAGACAAAGTTTATCAGAAGTAAATGATATGTTAGTGCAATACAGAGTGAATGATTCCATCAGATATTTACTTGTTAAGATATTTAATTATGAAAAAGCATTGATTATCTAGACAAACTAAAAGATTCAAATGATATAAAGATAACAAGGGAAAAGGAAAATACAAATCAAAGAACTCTGGGCAGTAAATCAACATAATCGGGCATGTACATGTAGTTTTCGAACACAGGTGGAATTTACAATTTCGTACGGCTGAAGCTACAATAAAGCCTAACTATTCATTTAAAAACACAAACGATGAGCTAAGATCAAGCTTGTTACCTGCATAAACTATGTTTAGTAACAGAAGAAGATGGGGGATACAATCAAAACAAAGGCGCAAACAACGACAGGTTTAAGGTCAACAACAACCAATCAAGATCGAAGTTAACAGAACAAGCTACGGGTCAAATGTGGAGAAATTCCAATACTTCGCTGAAGTTTGTGTTGATGATGTTGTTCAGAAGGACAATCAAAACTCCACAACCAAAATATCCAGTTCATATATTGAAACAGCACCAAAATCACCGACCCGAGCTACAAATTTTCTCCACCATCTCAACTTTATCTTTTTCTTTTTAAGTTTAGTTCACTGAATCATTTCTTCAGACCCTAATCTTCTCCATTACCACTAATGCTTCTACTACATCTACTACTATGGGATTTGAATTACGTCTGTGTGCTAATGTGGAATGGTAACCTGAACTTATGTACGTACGTACGAAGTTCTACATGGTAGCTGACTGACTGATTGATCAGTCACAATGTTAAATGATACAAACTAAAGCATGTTCCTACCAATAGCTATATTTTCTGCTTTCATTGTTTCTTCAGTAGATTTCTTTAACATTTCTAATTCATTTTCTCTAGCTTTCCATTTATCAAGATTTGTTTTAAAAACACATTGCATAGCTTGTATACGTTCAGTTAAATCAGCTGCTTCATTGATTCGCTCTTGAAACAGTTTATTCAACATTTTAAATTGTTCTTGACATTCAAAATCACTGGTATAATACTAGAAAATGATAATATAATTAAAGATTCAAAGAAAATAATTCAATAACAACTACAAAGTGTACTATTATAACCAAATGAATGGAAATTACTGAAATAATTTTTTTAACAGACAGTAAAATATTAGATAGACAAATATTTAAACTGAACTCAGTGTTTTTAAACAATAGAAGTGATTGCAACATTCAATTTAAGCGACTACAGCTAATGAAATGGCGGTGTTAAAACCAAACGAATCTGAACTGTTTAATATTGACTTGGTCTCCTAGTTGTACTTTTCAGTGTTGATGTACACTATTGGAGATCAGTTCATTTATATGAGCGAAAAAAATTCATGAAAGTTGAATCCAATTAGATTATCTTGTTAAACAGCGGTTACAAAATATCGAAATGACATCTCTTTTGCCATGCTGAAATTCCTACGAGACGGAAGTCCTAATTGATACTGTTTGATAAATTCTACTAGTTACATAACAGTTATAATTGAAAAAAAGTTTCTGAGTTTATTTATTCCATGATAATATTTTAAAGTTCACTTATTTTTGGCTTGAGTGCAAAATGTTACCTAACAGAGAGTAAGGATCACTCAATATACTTAACGAAAAACCACAATTTAGATAGGTTGACGGATTATGATATTTCATGAAGTGACTCAAAAAGTTCATCTGTGATTCGGTAATCTGGACCCCCAAGTAGTCAATTAAAAAAGCTGTTATTTTGTTTTTATTACACGCAAATACCTCAGTACTATGAGATAATTGAAACTAGGACGTCGCTTCATTCCCATCAAACCAGCCACCGATGGAGGGGGTTCGATAAAGGACTGTCGCTCGTTCTGGGGCACACGTTTAGATTCAGATCAAGCCCTAGTGCGAGCGCGTATTTGTTTGAAGCTTACTGGACGTAGGACAGACACCGTAAGGAAGCCTCTTAGGGTTTTACTTAATGATAATAAGGCGAAAAATATATTTCAGGAACAACTAGAAAGACAGTTAGGCGACCATTTAAGCGATCCCCATCCGGAAACAGGTTGGCATCATATCAAGAAGGCTGTGGAAATAGCAGTGATATCTGCTAGCAAGGCAAACCATAAGGCTAGGATGAAGCCGTGGATTTCGGTGCATCCACCGAAATGATGGATGCTCGAAAACGCATCCCACCTGACTCTGAACATGATGAAGAGCGTAGTCAGCTTAGGCGCAGACTTATAAAAAGCCTACGTAACGACCGTGAACAGTGGTGGGTGGCGAAAGCAAAAGCGATGGAAAAGGCAGCGGCGATCGGCAACACTAGACAACTTTTCCGCCTTATTAAAGAAACGGTATTAAGAACCCGAATTTGAGTGAGACTATCTCGGAAAATGATGGGACTATTATTTATTCTCAATCAAGGAGACTGGATCGATGGGCAGAACACTTTAGGGATCGGTTCAACTGACCTCGAGCCACTCTTCGGTTACCCACGATCTCCAGTCATACTGAATGGCGAATCGACGTAAGTCTGCCTAAGCTTTATGGAGTTGAGAAAGCGTTAGGAAATCTGGAGCGAAGTAGAGTAGCAAGTCCTGATAGACTAATCCCTTAGATATTTTAGGATAGTGGTCCAGTTTAAACAGTTAGACTGACCGAGATCTTAGGTAGAATCTGGGAACTGGACGTAATCTCCTCTAACTTGGTTGGGACATGTGTTACGTATGCCTAGCCACCGACTGCCGCGACGATCTATCTCTGTGGTGTAGGAGTAGGTTGGAAGAAAGTTAGTGCCGGCCAAACCAAAACAGCAGAAATCAATGAAGTCGGTGACAAGTAGAGTCATGTTGGTAGATGTAGGCCACCTGGTTGGTGTCCTCGAGACGAAAGTCACCGATTGTTAGAGACCTTGAATGACATGGCTCAGAATCGTTTGCAATGGCGCAAGTGCATCCATTCTTTGGGCTCTCACGAATCCTAATCTGGATTCGTCAGCACCTCTATCTTTGTCTTCCTAACCTTATCTCACTGAATTATACTTCTTGAATATTATCTTCAAACGCTAGTCTTCTTCATTACCATGAATACCTCTACTATCTTTATCACTATGGGATTTGATTTGACATTTGCGTCTCTGTGCTAATGTGGTATGGTAACATGAACTTATGTACATACATACGAAGTTCTACGTTGCAACTGACTGACTGTCTGGTTAGGAAGAGACAATCGAAGGATTTAAAAAATTTATATGAAACCTTGACAGTTATTTTGCACGTTTGCAAGCTTTACTACGCCTAAATAGTACTTATCATACAACTTTTCTACGATACTCTTATGTAGTTCTAATTGTTAGCTTTCTCTTTTAACTCAGAAACGTATAGTCACAGATCTCATATAATAAAAAATTACATTCAATTAATCATTCATAGTTTATTTAAATCAATACGAAAAATGTGATGATGATATTATACCTGAGGCATTTTATAAATTTATTGAAATGTGTTTTATAGCATTTTGCATAACCTACATCAAAATTATATGAAAAAAAAATCATGTGATTGTACGTCTCACTTTATATTATTTTGATTTAAAGTTTTACAGACATTGTTACTTAAAGAGATCGTGTAAAATCTAAAGTCACAGCAGTCAACAACTGTTAGAAGGTGATACGGATCTCACAGGATCATTCATTTACAGTCTATATTTAATTGACTAAGTCAAGGACATACTATGCTGTGGGACTGACCAAGATCCATTTGATACAACTAATAACTGGGATCATATCTTCCATAACTTACAACACCAGTTTTTAAGCATGTTAGGATATTCATCCAATATCCTAAGAGAATTATTGGCCGATTCCTATTGGTTAATTCCTACTGGTCAATTTTATGGTCGTCTTAGATATCAATGTCACGTACTCTAATGTTGTTTCTTATTGGTCGTCCGGACTGTCAATGTCACAGACTTTGATAGTCTTTCCTATTCAACCTAAATGTATAAATACACAGTATCTGTAAAGCTTTATATTCCGTTCCTTCTAGCCTTCCTCTCTACTGTACTTGACCCAGTAAACAACTTCATCTAAAGGTGTTGTGTTCTGATATATAGGAAATTTGGGAATAGTATTTGGGTCGTATTGGGATATTTGAATTTGGACGCCGTTATGACTGAATCGCTACGTAGCAGCATTACAACAATGTGCACTTTATGTATGTAGCTGCTCACAAGGTCACTGGCTGATAACCATTCAAAATGTTCCCCAATGTAAATTAAATAGTTTCAGTTAGAATTTTGATCGATCAAATTTTACTAATTTATACAAAAAAAAACAGTTACCTTTGTCAAAAGTTTTTCATTTTCTTTAGATAATTCTTGAATATAATCTTCATAAGCATTTACTTGTGTTTCTAAATGTTTAATAACAAATAAATAATAATCACGACCAAATGATTCAATTAGTGCATCATCCAATTGATCGATATTTTGCAGTAGATCATCATTTAAAACTAATTGATCATTATTATTATTATTATTATTGGACTTTCTACTACTAGTATTTTTACGTGAACTTTTACGTTGACTACGACTACTTGATGATGATGATGATTTATTCTTTTTAGGCGGCTACAAAATTTAAAAAAAAAAACAGATCAAACAACAACTGTATCGTTGTAAATAGATCATTAAAGATTCTTCTATAAATAGAGCACAGAAATGATAATATATTACCGATAGAATGTATGATAAGTGATTGTGAATGGCAAAGGATTCACAATGAATTGTTAACAGATAGTGAATAAAGAAAACTATGAAATCTAGCTAGAATACAACGCCAAATTAATGTTGATATACAAAAGTTATCAAATGAGAACAGTTAAGTAGATGATAGCGTAATTGTTAAAAGCTTGGAAATAATTTGTTTTAATGAGATGATATCATGATATTTTCAGAAATAAGGTGAAATCAATATTTGTCTTATCAACTAACTCAATGATGATCTAGTTAGTACATCAACTAGCTCGCCTTTGTTGAGAAATAAAAAAAATTTTCAAACCATGGATAGGTGTGAAGACAGTATCTTGGTAAACAGAAACGAATTTGTGAAAGCTACAACAGTTGAGTGAGTTGCATTATCGGTTGATACTCTTTTTCTCAGAACTAATTATATAATTGAAATCTGCGATGAAAACATATTAGCTTTGAAATTACCGAGTATTTAAACCAGTAACTGCAAATGAATAGACTAATAACCAATTTAAACTATATCAATGTATGGTAGTCGCTGCTAGACAAACATACATTTCCCTAAATAAAAGATAAACGGAAATTTCAAATAACTTAGGATTTGAACAACTCAAATTTGAAGACAAATAATTGAAATCCTAAAGTACTAGTTGGTGTAATCTGTCTAACTAACCTCAATAAATTTAACTAAGGAATCTCATATGTAGACACAACTCCAAAGGACGCTGATTGTTGTTGGCTAGCTAACTAGTTTTAAAAACGTACAGATCCATAAATGTGTGGAAAATGATCAACAGAGGATAGTAATATCATTCACTCAGATTTCTAATTGCTGACATTCCAAACTGTTCATACTTATTAGCTTTCTAGCACAATTTCGAAAAAAGCATAATCTAAAGTGCATAGAGTTCATCTGTGGCTTTTGCGATCAATGCCCTATTTCTCAAGAATACGCTTAGTATATATTCACAAACACAATTAATATAGATATTAATTTTGATGAGACCTCAAGGAGTTAAAGCTCATTTATAAAAGCCCACTGTCAAAATTCGCAATAAAATAAGTGTGGATAACATTTGTAGGCGTCTAAGTTGATAGATATCAATACATATCGGTTGATACCAAACAATACTGATCTTCTCAATTCATCATTGCTTTTCAATGTGGAAAACCTATTTGTATAAATAAATATGTTAACAGATCTACCAGAATAGAATGAATCAGCTAGATTTTAGCCGGCTTCAATTAAAGTGAGCAATCCATAGAAAATAAGTTGTATAAAAATTCTAATAAATTAAGTGAGTTGAAGTATTGCATTATAAGGACTTTTTTATCACTCTTACTTGAAAACACGTACAACTGAAACCACAATCAACATGCTTGTAAAGACTGAATTTAAGAAAATGAATACATTGAAAGTTCAGTTGGCAAAGCGATAATTTATGTCCTACATGACTAAAACTATTTCAGACTAGCTGAAGCATACCCAACCAAATACAGCATTCTACAATTATCATAAAGTATGTTTGACAGCGAATTTAATCCATTATGTATCTTAGCCTTCTTATTTTCTATCATATTATAGGAATAAAAACCATAAGAAACAAAGTGATTGATAGAGCTGCAAGTATAAGTCACAATTAAGTCTCAAAACCCATTACTGAACGCAATTTCCCAAATGGATAAGCAGTAGTCGAAGTTTATGCTGCCTTGGTGATACGAAAAAACACATCAATAGTATAGGAGAAATGCAAACAAATAAAGTTCAGGTTTTAACAATGATCATGTTAGCCAGAACATTTCACTGTTCACTACTAATGAACAAAGCGAATACATGAGATTTTCGACAACCTCATGAATTCCAAACATCATTACAAGAAACTACAGTAATACTAATATTGTGAAACTGCTACTCATTATATGAATCTATCATTGCTCACATTTTTGTGAATAAAAATATCTCGACCACTGATTTATCTCGTTGAAAAAAGTACATAATCTAATCACTACAAATGAGATTTATACTACTAAGAATATCAATGATATCATCCACAAGTTTCCAAGCAGAACAAACAGAAACCAGGCAGCTTTTTCGGTTTCGATCAAAACTAGGAACATAATACATGTCAGCAGTCACTAACCAGTTTTAAATCAGTCGCACATCTGTCATACAGTCGTAGCTCAATTTTATTGTCTCTAACCGTGAGCCTAAGTGACACAAGCTGTAGTTCGCCAAAGGGTATCAGTCAGTTAACATCACAGATACACTTTGCTGTCGAGTACTGAATATCAGGAAACCTAGGAGTAGGATTTCCTGTCGACTACTTTCAACATCTGTATGCCAATATCAAAATAAATGAATTTAAATCCCCTAAATTTCAAAAGAATAGATGATGTTCTGTTTATTACTAGAGGTTGTTTGATACGTTTTGTGGAAGAATTGCAGTTTATACGATATTCTAAGAACAACGAATCTAAATGACATTCCCAGATGTAAGAAAACTAAATAGATAACAAAGAAACGCTGATTTTAAATAGCTCCATGAACTACATTAAAAACAATAATTAATTTTCTATTGTAAATATCATCCGACGAACAGATCTTTCAAATATTATTTCACTCCGGCACATAATGTTAACTGGCAAAAGTTTACTTTCATTCACTTGGACCATAATCCAAACTACCAGCGAAAACTAAAACAAATCACATTACAAGCAAGACTAAATCCAAACTAATTTTGGTATCTTATTTTAACTAACAACTTCAATGTATTGAAATTATTGTTCCTTGTTAAGTAAAGTATCTCACATATGTCAATAATGAGAATTGAAAAGGTGAAAGGAAGGAAAATATAGTAGTATCCTATGAAATAGAAGAATCTATCAGTCAGTCAGTTGCAACGTAGAACTTCGTACGTAAGTACATCAGTTCATGTCGCCATGCTTCATCAGCACAGAGATATAATTGTCAATTCAAATCCGATAGTAGAAGAGGTAGTAAAGGTATTAGAAGTAATCGGAGAGGTTAGGATTAGAAGATATTACTCAAGAAGCATGATTCAATGAGATAAGTTTAGAAAGTATAAACTAGGTGTTGAAGAACCCAGAAGATTAGGATTTGAGAGAACACAAAGAGTGGATGCACCTGCGCCATTGCAAACGATTCTGAGCCATGTCATTCAAGGTCTCTAACAATCGGTGACTTTCGTCTCGCGGACACCAACCAGGTGGCCTACATCCACCAACATGACTCAGTCCACTTGTCAGTGACTCCATGCATTTGTGCCATGTTTTGGTTTGGCCGCCCCTAGCTTTTTACCATTCTACTCGTACACTGCAAAACATAGCTCGTCGAGGCAGTCGGCGGTTAGTCATACGTAACACATGACCCGACCACCTCAACTGATGAGGTTTCACCACTTCATCTGTTGATCTGCCATCCTTAACTAGTACTACTCGTTTCCTAACTATAGCATTGCTTACTCGGTTGTCCCATGATACACGAGCAATGTTTCGGAGACACCTATGATCGAAAACCAGTAACCTACGAATATCTTCTACTCTAATTGGCCATGTTTCACAGCCATAAAGTAAGATGGAGCGAACTACTGAACAGTACACTCGTCCTTTAGTCAGCAAACGGATATCTCGCCTACGCCATAAGTGACGCAGGTTGGCAAAGGCCAATCGAGCCTTCTGTATCCGTGCCGAGATTTCGTCAGTCACCAGGCCATCAGCACTGATGAGACTCCCAAGATAAGTGAAGCGGTCAACACGTTCGACTACTTCACTCCATACCACTAATTCAGGTGTCGATGAAACCCAATCTTGAAGCAAAATTTTACAGTTTGACGGGGAGAAACGCATCTCAAACATGCTTGCATTGTTTCTTAGGGTGGTCGGAAGACTCTGCATTTTGTCAGCGTCTTCACCAAGCAGGAGTATGTTATCGGCATATTCTAAGTCAATAAGCGAGCCACCTGGTAGAAGGTCTACTCCTGAAAATTCAGACGAGGATAAGGTTATTTCTAGGAGCATGTCTATGATAAAATTAAACAAGAATGGAGAGTGTTTACAGCCCTGACTGACACCACTTGAAGTAAAGAATTCCGGTGACAGCTCGCCATAAGCTCTAACTCGACCAGCGGTGTTCGAGTAGAGAGCTTGTATGAGGTTAATGTACTGCTTTGGTACACCTTTCAATGACAGACACTGACACAGAACCTTACGATCCACAGAGTCAAATGCCGCTTTTAGGTCCAGGAACACAACTATTGTCGGACGTCTAAATGTGTGTCTATGTTCCAGGACCTGTCGTAGTGTGAAAATGTGGTCTATACAACCACGTCCAGGTCGAAAACCAGACTGGTTTTCTCTAGTCTGCTCTTCACGAGCTTCCGTTAAGCGTCGAAGTATTATTGAGGCCAATATTTTAGATACTATATTAGTTAGACTTATTCCGCTGTGATTGTCACAAGGAGACTTCTGTCCTTTCTTATAGATTGGGACAATCAGTGATTGAGAGCAGTCGGATGGGATTACGTCCAGTTCCCAGATTCTACCTAAGATCTCGGTCAAACTAGTTGCTAAAACTGGACCACCATCCTTAAATATCTCAGGGGTCAGTCTATCAGGACCCGCAGCTCGTCCTCGCTTCAGATTTCCTAACGCTTTTTCAACTTCATTAAGACTAGGGGGACTTAGGTCGATTTGCCATTCAGGATGACTGGAGATCGTGGGTAACCGAAGAGTGGCTCAGAAGAATCTATGAAACTAAGCATATCATCGTTTTGCTCACATTTCATGTAAGTGATGGATTAGAATTAGGTCTGACAACTGGGACTTTATTCACTAACGAATGCATGATCTACACAATTCCTATTATCTAACAGATCAATTTATTGTTTGGTTCATACTTTATACATAAGCATGTCAGTTTATTATATAAGAAAACTATTTTGCTAATTCGTGATCTTGTCGTTAATGTCAAACTATTTGAGATTTCACGTCACACTATGATAGTCCCGTAAGCAGATACAACTTGACTACTTCGTTTGACTGTGTGTTGTCCAGTGATTGGCATTGTTTCACTTCATCGTATTTCACACCAACTATTGTGGTGTTTACACACTTTTACGCATAATAATAATAATAACTAGCTCAAAGTGGATTTCAATAAAACTAAACAGTAAAGCTAATCTACTAGACAAAAATTAAAATAAATCTGGTTAAAATGCAAAGCTAAAGGATAAACTAAACAATTTACTCTAACTAGCAATGGATGTGAGCATTTGGGGGGCGAGGAGGGGAGAATAAAAAGTCGAAAAGTATGCATCAAAAACAAAGTAATTTCATTGATCTTTTGTACACAGAACTGAGGATTGATTATTTAGAGCATAAAATTACAATGGCTTCCAATAGTAAAATACATACATGAATACATCTATGTATAAAATGTTTTATTCGAATGATTTAAAATACCCGTTTATCACATCGTAGTAGAAATATTACATAAGTAGCTAATAAAAAGAACCCCCAAGGAGAGAAAAAATATAAACGAAGAAATAAGAGATATCTATATATATACCAATTAAAAAATAAATCACAGCTTTAACACGGTTATAAAAAAAAAAGAATGGAGAACAGACTTGAAAAACGAATTTAAAAGATATAATGAAATCAACAACTGCGCACAACTGTCGCAGAATAGTTTTTTTTTTAATGATATTCATAATTCTGTATTCCATGCATCTTCCCATCCGGTGGTTTCACTTGCCTAAAAATAATATTTTATAAGAGAAATGAAAATTATACCAAAACAATTAGGAGGAATAAATAGAAAAAAAATCAACTCATAGGTTTATACGAAAGCATAGAAAAAATAACGATTCTTTTAATTTATAGATTAAAGTGTAAGTTAAGCAGAAAAAATGCTTCTTTTTTGTCGATACCTTGATGATGAAAGCACTAGATAATCAACTAGTATTGTCTAACGAAAATTGTAGTAAATGGTTATAAAACGATACCGCCATCTTTTCATTTAAAACTGTTGTTCGGTAACAAAAAATATAGTTACTGGCTTCCGATTGTTTAAAACTTACGGAGTGATATGCTCCCATGTCAAACTACCTAGCCTACAGTATAACTCAGTAATGACAAGACAGGATGATACAAGATATGTAAAATACTTTTTAAGTGAAATATGGATGTATTAACTGCTTGGAGTAGGTTTGCTATCTTCTGATTTAATGAAAAGTTTGTTCATCACTAGACAAATACTGAAATGCAACGTTAGGAAATGCAGTCTTATGGTAGCCGGTTCGTATGCTACTTCTGCCATCAATATCGTGGAGCCTTCATGAATTCTCTGTAATCACCAACTCAGTTCATATGTCCGACATTCGTTTTTCGTCCTCTCAATTTCGTAAAAAACACACCTATCGTAAGAACACAATGGGTGGGACACCATAGACTGATTTCACGTCTTAAAATGGTCATCTTTAGTATTTTCCAATCCACACTACTGTCATCCAACATCAAACCTCGAGGTAAGCACGTAAAACAAACCCTAAATACCAGCTGATAAAGATCCAAAATCTTTTCAATCAACTTAAAATCTTTAAAGATAATCCTGAGTTGAACTCGGTGATCCAAATATAAGCAAACAATGCATAATCAAATACTAGTGTAACTGATCAATATCACAGAAAAATAACAATTTATGTGGTACAGAAATTCGTAATCGTCATACAAAAATAAAAATGATATATTGATGCAAAAAAAGAACACCTCAATAGTTACCCCATCAGTTGACTGTTCTAATGAAAGTTCATTGAATCGATTGATTTCTGTTTCATCAGGTACAAGTGTATATCTGAGTGGGGAAAATGGAATAGAAGGTTTCTGTACAATTTTAGGTTCCATCAATGTTAGAAGTGCATCGATTTCACGCTCATTGTTGGAAATCTAAAATCAAACAAATTTTGGAAAATACTATTTAATTTTTAATTTCAAAAATAAATATACACATTATATGCACTTTACCGAATAACTGTAAGCTAAAAATAAAGATGCGTGGATTTCTGCTATACGTTGAAAAATTCTTATAACCAAGACGTATTAAGATTTACAGTAACTTATATGATTAAGAAACTTAATCAGATGTTGGGCAGCATGAGTTTAACCGGCTGCACTAACAAGACACAAACAGGCTGTAATTTATAGCACATAAATTCAGTAAATGAATCATAAAATTGGTCATTTTGTGACCAATATAGAACCTGACAAAAATGTATGCCATGTTAACATGATGAGTAGCAAAAGAGACTGAAATAATGTGGTAGCAATGATCATGAGGACAGTTGAACGCTGAGAATACGGATAGAAAAAACAGTGAAAAGGTATGTATGAGGGTTCGACAGGGAAATAAAGAGTGAACGTATGTGCTCTACTGTGAACGATTCTGAGACATGTTATTCCAATTTCTGAACCATTGATCGTGGTTATCGCCTAGACCAAAAACCAAGTAGTCTGGACGTATCAATATGACTCAGACAAACAGTAAATGACTTCATGAACTGATGCTGTTTCGGTTTTATTATCTCGATCTTTTTTCAACCTACTTCTACATCAGCAAACATAATACTTCGAGATAGGTGTTGGTTAAGCATATTGTTGTATGGTATAATTGTTCTTTAATTAGCGGATGGACCACTAACCTCATATAACAATATTATAATATTTATTTTATAACTCTAGACAAATTTTGCTAAACAATCCTAATGAGTAAAAACAATTAGGCTATATGAGAGAGAGAGAGAGAGATTAGATGGAAACCTAATTAGTTATCAGAAACATACAAATAAAGACGACTGTTCTTTTACGTTATATCGTTGTTCATTAGCATTTTAGTGGCATGAATTATGTTCCATCTAAATTCTTTAATAAAATCTTTCTTATCAATAAATTTAATTAAAACTAAACAAAATTAATAAATGACTTAGTACACCCATTTGTATATCATGAGAGAGAGGAATCAATATTCAGTTGGTGACAGACAATTCATAAGTAAAGAATAGGCATACAGATATATATTTGAAAATCTTTATGTACCAATAATGTGGTCTTATTAAAGCAATTTATTAGGAAAATCTTATCTCTACTAGTAAATAATACAAATAAAAATTAACTGTGGTGATTTGTATATTACATTCTCAATTAATAATATGAATGAAAATAGAAGATATGTAACATTTAAAAGGTAGTCAGTCAGTCAGTTACAACGTAGAACTTTGTACATGAGTACATAAGTTCAGGTCGCCATAGTGTTTCAGCACAGAGATGCAACTGTCACTTGAAATCCCATAGTGGTAGAGATAGTAGAACAACTATCTTTATAGTTAATTAACTTTAGAAATGAGCACAATATGCATTAATGCATTTCGAAACTCAAGAACCGATCATATTAATTCAGTCAGTTTAGTCACCATTAGTGTAAACAAGTGCATATTACATTAGTACAGCGAAAGAGACAATGAACAAGATCAGAAATAAGAGATACAAGTTAAGGATTTTAACTATAATGAAAACTAAAAACAAAATAATGAAATGAGCGAATTTCATGAATCATTTTATTAAGAAATAGTTAAGAGAATAAACAGCAAAAGTATTTGAAAGAATTAACTAGACGGACAATGATTGCAATTTCGGAAAAGAAAAACTAAGAAGAATAGGTGAATCGTTTGTGACCGATTTTAGTATATCACATAGAATACTGTATGAAAGTGTCTAAGGTAATAATGATGGGGTGTATTGTACAGACAGATTTCTCTTAGAACGGTTTTTGATTAGTTGAGATGAATGAGTAAATTATGCTGTAAACTACATGAAGTACAAATGAAAAATGTTTAAATAGACTTCATGTCCTGTGTCAATCAAGTGTAGAGCAAGCACATGAACTTATTAGTTAAGGAAATCAACTTCCAACTGCTAAGTCACCAAATGTTGTGTTATCTAATCTGAACGTTTAAAACATCATTTTTGACTGACAACTATATATCCAGAAACACAATGAAAACCTCACAATTAAACATTCTGGTTTAGAGAAAAGAACAGCATCCCAGTAGCAATTTGTAAAATATGTGTAGTTATGCAGAATGCTTAGAGGTGTATAAAGTTAGTGAAACTAACAGACTTCTGAATACATAACCAATGATTTAAAAAAAATTAACTACACTCATTCGTTAACAATTAGTTTAGATTATCTTATATTTTGAAAAGTTAATCTGCATCACCTGCTATTCTCCCTAATCAGGATTTTCATTAGAAATTAATTCACCTCAATTCATCAGTAAATATTACTGATTGGCTTCCTATCAGCTTCACAAATTGTTTCATTCATACCAGACTTTTTGCTACCAGTAACTAGGATGAGTTGAAAGAGCTTCTGGCAACTACCAGATGCAACATCCAACTTGTTAGCAGGTTGCGACCATCAGATTTCTTAATTCTTACACAAACTTTGTACTGTTTGATTATGAAACGATCTTTTATTGGTGAACTCAAGGTTATCTACTAATTACACGATAAAAATATACCTAACAATAATCTCAATAATAGTTCTGAAAATTTAAATTTGTTCATCTCGTTTTAACAGCTTACATATAATAAATCAATAAAGAATTACACAGAAGAACACAGACACCTACTTCAACAGAATTATTCAAACAATTAGAATTGTTTTCAGGAAATGCCAATGATTTTCTATCAACAATCAACGTGCTTGATGATGATGATGATGGATTGTCTAATGCAGGTTTATCAAATGAATTAGATTTTGTATTTTCATTAGATGCATTTTGAGTGTTGTATTGAAAATGTTCGACTTCGTCCCACTGATTGGAACCATTATCATGATCATTATTGTTATTATTATCGATATTAAAGGGGGTAGTAGTCAGAGTAGAAGTAATAATATTGGCTGCCGTCGAAGTACTAGACAGTTTGAGCATATCATCTACACGATAAAATTAGAAAAAAGTGATAAAAACAATAATATTGACATCAAGACAGACTTCAAAACACTGTATAGAAACGTTGAAGGAGGAATTTTGAGGTTCATGGAAGCCTTGGCCATTTATAAAAAATAAAACCCTCCCTTATGTATACAGAAACAATTTGTTATAACCTTGAATTTACCTTGGTAATCTTCAAGTCATTGTCTGGCCTACCATTTCTTATTCTTTCTATATTATGTTAATTTTCTCTCTCTTTCATTTCAGTTGCGACGTAGAACTTCGTACGTAAGTACATAAGTTCATGTTGTCATAATATATTAGCAAAGAGACGCAAATGTCAATTCAAATCGCAAGACGAATATTCATTCAAATACCACCAAAAAACAGGTAATGGTGATTAAAAATAAACGAAAACGTACACTAAAAGTTTGGAGAGAAAAGATTCCATTTTATTAAATATATGCATGTATGGGCAATATTCAACTTAGGAAAAAATAAACTGCTTTGACAGTGTCAGATAGCTGGAAAGGAAACACAGAATAAAGATTTTGGTGGAAAAGAAAAGAAAACTAGTCAACAGGAAAAATAATCAAGGGTATTAGCATATATTAATAATAGGGCAGTTACAAGTGTTTTAATTCTTTCCATTATATTATTTTAGGCTCCATTAAAAATTTATGCAGATATATGTGCTTATGAAAAATGATAAAACTAATTGAATCTGGAAAATATTATTTCCTTGAATATTTATTCACAAAAACAATAATAACATAAGTTTTAAGATTAAAAAAACCATCATTTTATGAAATATCAAAAATATCCTATCAACTTGGTTGGCGTTCTTTATAAAATGCATTATAAAAACGAAATGAACTCACCATCTGCTAGACGAGAATCAGTACAAAGACTAAAAGAAAAGTAGAGAAAATAATAATTAAAATTCTAGATTGTTTTTCTTAATAATTAAACAAGAAACTGTGTATTTATACTGTTTGCAGTTATTCACAAAAAAATCCAGTTAGCAAACATTTGTGTGTGTATGCGTTATATAAACTGCTTGAGAAAAAATCTATCGGTAAATTATTTCAGGAACAACTAGAAAGACAGTTAGGCGACTCCTATTTGGAAACAGGTTGGAATCATATCAAGAAGGCTGTGGAAACAGCAGTGATATCTGCTAGCAAGGTGAACCATAAGGCTAAGATGAAGCCGTGGATTTCAGTACCATCCAGCGATCTAATGGATGCTCGAAAACTCACCCCACATGGCTCTGAACACGATGAAGAACAAAGTCAGCTTAAGCGCAGACCTGCGCTACGACTGTGAACATTGGTGGGTGGAGAAAGCAAAAGCGATGGAAAATGCAGCAGCGATAGGCAACAGTAGATAACTTTTCCGACTTATCAAAGAAACTGATATTAGGAATCCTAGTGTAAGTGACACTATCTCGGAAAAGGATGAGACTATTATCCATTCTCAATCCAGGAGACTGGATCGATGGGCAGAACACTTTAGGGATCAGTTCAACTGGCCTCGATACACTCTTCGGTTACCCACGATCTCCAGTCATCCTGAATGGCAAATCGACCTAAGTCCCCCTAGTCTTAATGAAGTTGAAAAAGCGTTAGGAAATCTGAAGCGAGGACGAGCTGCGGGACCTGGTAGACTGACCCCTGAGATATTTAAGGATGGTGGTTCAGTTTTAGCAGCTAGGTTGACTGAGATCTTAGGTAGAATCTGGGAACTGGACGTAATCCCATCCGACTGCTCTCAATCACTGATTGTCCCAATCTATAAGAAAGGACAGAAGTCTTCTTGTGACAATCACAGAGGAATAAGTCTAACTAATATAGTATCTAAAATATTGGCCTCAATAATACTTCGACGCTTAACGAAAGCTCGTGAAGAGCAGACTAGAGAAAACCAATCTGGTTTTCGACCTGGACGTGGTTGTATAGACCACATTTTCACACTACGACAGGTCCTGGAACACAGACACACATTTAGAAGTCCTACAATAGTTGTTTTCCTGGACCTTAAGGCGGCATTTGACTCTGTGGATCGTGAGGTTCTGTGGCAGTGTCTGTCATTGAAAGGTGTACCAAAGAAGTACATTAACCTCATACAAGCTCTCTACTCGAACACCAGTGGTCGAGTGAGAGCTTATGGCAAACTGTCACCGGAATTCTTTACTTCAAGTGGTGTCAGTCAGGGCTGTAAACACTCTCCATTCTTGTTTAATTTTATCATAGACATGCTCCTAGAAATTACCTTATCCTCGTCTGAATTTTCAGGAGTAGACCTTCTACCAGGTGGCTCGCTTATTGACTTAGAATATGCCGATGACATTGTCCTACTTGGTGAAGACGCTGACAAAATGCAGAGTCTTCTGACTACCCTAAGCAACAATGCAAGCATGTTCGGGATGCGGTTTTCCCCCTCGAAATGCAAAATGTTGCTTCAAGATTGGGTTTCATCGGCACCTGAACTAGTGATAGGGAGTGAAGTGGTCGAACGTGTAGACCGCTTCACTTATCTTGGGAGTCTCATCAGTGCTGATGGCCTGGTGACTGACGAAATCTCGGCACGGATACAGAAGGCTCGATTGGCCTTTGCCAACCTGCGTCACTTATGGCGTAGGCGAGATATCCGTTTGCTGACTAAAGGACGAGTGTACTGTGCAGCAGTTCACTTCGTCCTACTGTACGGATGCGAGACTTAGCCGTTAATAGTAGAGGATGTTCGTAGGTTACTAGTCTTCGATCATCGATGTCTCCGAAGCATTGCTCGTATATCGTGGGACAACCGAGTAAGCAATGCTATAGTTAGGAAACGAATTCTAGGTAGGGATGGCAAATCAACAGATAAAGTGGTGAAACCTCATCAGTTGAGGTGGTTGGGACGTGTTACGTATGACTAACCGCCGACTGCCTCGACGAGCTATGTTTTGCAGTGTACGAGTAGATTGGAAAAAAGCTAGGGGCGGCCAAACCAAAACATGGCACAAATGCATGGAGTCACTGACAAGTGGACTGAGTCATGTTGGTAGATGTAGGCCACCTGGTTGGGGTCTGCGAGACGATAGTCACCGATGGTTAGAGACCTTGAATGACATGGCTCAGAATCGTTTGCAATGGCGCAGGTGCATCCACTCTTTGTGTTCTCTCTAATTCTAACCTTTTGAACTCTTCGTCATCTCTACCTTTCTCCTTAAAAATTTATCTCACTGAATTATACTTCTCGAATCATATCTTCGCTCCCTAATCTTTTCTATTACTGCTAATACTTCTATTACTGCTATCACTCTTGGATTTGGTCTGACAGTTGCGTCTCTGTGCTGATGAAGCATGGCAACCTGAACTGATGTACTTACGTACGAAGTTCTGCGTTGTATCTGTCTGTCTGTCTAGGGTTTTCCAATAACTCAGTCCTTCTCCAACTTTTACATAGACAACATTCTAAAAACAGCTCTTATGGAAGTAAGTAGTGAGTGTGGATTTGTTACTTCGAGATATATTTTTCGATCTTGAGAAGCGGATGATATTGTCGTACTATAAGACGATACTCGAGTTATGCAAATCGAATTAAATTGGTATGCGATGTACTTCGTACTTTCTAAATGTAAGGTACTTCCACAGGAACGGAAAGAGCGCATGCATGTACGCACCATCACTCACAGGGCAATGGATCGTTAGAAGTAGTTGAAAGTATCGTCTGTCTGGGTGGTAAGTAATATAAGTGCTGGCAGCAACGCCAGCAATGGGCAACTTATGCCAATGTGGGCCATCTTCGGTGACATCATTGCGTTAGCCTGGCTGTGACATATTGGGTCCACAACGCGTTGATCAGAGCAGTTTTGTTGCATATTGACAAAACCTATCTGCTCCGACCTGTGGATGATTAACAACTCATTCTCTCTCCAATCATCGTCGTCTCCGATGGATTGACGACATTCAGTGGCAACACTGTGTTAGCAATCAACAGGTTCGGCAATTTGTTCGTGGACACCGATGGTAACTCACTTGGTGGCACCATCTCAAAACACCCACTTTGATGGCTTGGACATCTACGACGAATGACACAATACTGGCTTTCATATTATGCTTTATTTGTCTACGTTAGGACCGATTGGACGAAAAATGAGGTGGTCAGAGTATGACATGATGTTTTGGTATGAAAGAAGGCTGTACAGAACTAGTGTAACTGTAAGTCCCTCATGAACATGACTTCGAATTGAAACCAGTTTCGGTCCTCCCGCCAGTAGAACCTTCGGGGCTACTGCCGGTCCCAAGCCCGCGTAAAGGAGGAGGGTTGGACATGGGGTTGGCGACCCCATTCCGTCAAAAACTAAATTGCCGAAAACACGCTAACCAGAAAAAATAATTCAAACCATTTTAACTCTGCCCTGGGAATCGGAAGAAGAATTATGACGTCGCGTGATGAAAGCCGAGTTCCCTCGGTAGTCACGAGGCCGATGCCTCTTCTGACAACCAGAGCAACCATTCTTTTAGGTACATGGAACGTTCGTACATTGTGGGAGACTGGAAGACTATTTCAAGTTGCGGCAGAAATGAAAAGATACAACCTTGAGGTGCTCGACATCAGTGAAACGCATTGGACACAGGTAGGACAACTGAGACTTGCTTCAGGGGAACTGCCACTATACTCTGGTCATGAAGAAGAAAATGCTTCACGTACACAAGGAGTTGCACTGATGCTGTCCAAACATGCACAAAAGGCACTGATAGGATGGGAATCTCATGGACTAAGGATCATTAAAGCATCCTTCAAAACAAAGAAACAGGACATTACAATGAACGTCATCCAATGTTATGCACCTACCAACGACTACAATGACGACGATAAAGATCAATTCTACGAAAGGCTGCAGTCAATCGTCGAGAAATGTTCACCAAAGGATTTGACGATTCTTATGGGAGACCTGAATGCCAAGGTTGGAATGGACAACACTGGATATGAAGACATCATGGGACGACATGGACTGAGAGAAAGAAACGAAAACGGTGAGAGATTTGCAAACCTATTTGCCTTCAACAAACTGGTCATCGGTGGCACAATATTCCCGCACAAACGCATTCACAAAGCCACATGGATTTCACCGGACCACAATACTCAGAACCAAATCGACCATATCGGCATCAACAAAAAGTTCAGAAGGACCATGGAGGATGTGAGAACCAGGAGAGGAGCTGATATAGCATCAGATCACCACTTACTGGTCGTCAAAATGAAACTGAAACTAAAGAAGCACTAGACAACGGGACAGACAACATCAGACAAGTTTAATACGGCCTTTCTTCGGGATACTGTAAAGCTCAATGAATTCAGGATAGCCCTCACCAATAAGTTCCAGGCCTTTCAAGATCTACTCAATGGAGAGGACGCAACACTGGAGAACAATTGTAAAGGTATTAAGGAGGCAATCACTTCAACATGTCACGAAGTTCTGGGTCACAAGAAGTACCATCACAAGGAATGGATCTCTGTTGGTACTCTTTCAAAAATTGAAGTAAGGGGGAACAAGAAGGCAGCAATCAATGTCAGCCGAACAAGAGCGGAGAAAGTTACCGCACAAGCTGCATACACAGAAGCAAACAGGGAAGTGAAGAAGAGCATCAGAGCTGACAAACGAAAATATGTGGAAGATCTAGCAATGACGGCGGAAAAGGCTGCAAGAGACGGAAACTTGAGACAATTGTACGAAACAACAAAGAAGCTCGCTAGAAACTATCGTAAACCAGAACGACAAGTGAAAAGCAAGGAAGGAAAAGTAATCAGTAACACTGAACAACAGCGAAATAGGTGGGTAGAGCACTTTCAGGAACTCCTGAATCGACCAGTTCCACTGAACCCACCCAACATCGAAGCAGCATCCATGGACCTCCCAATTAATATTGGCGCACCTACAATAGAAGAGATCAGTATGGCCATCAGACAAATCAAGAGCGGCAAAGCAGCAGGACCAGACAACATTCCAGCAGAGGCAATGAAAGCAGATGTAGAAGCAAGTGCGAAAATATTTCACATCCTCTTCAAGAAGATTTGGGATAAGGAACAAGTAACATCAGATTGGAAAGAAGGAAGATACCCGATCAAAATACCAAAGAAAGGCGATCTCAGCAAGTGTGAGAACTACAGAGGCATCACTCTTCTTTCAATACCAGGCAAAGTCTTCAACAGGGTATTGTTAAACAGAATGAAGGACTTAGTAGACACACAACTTCGAGATCAACAGGCTGGATTTCGTAAGGATCGATCATGTACTGACCAAATTTCTACATTACGGATCATTGTGGAACAATCAATTGAATGGAACTCACCACTCTACATCAACTTCATCGACTACGAGAAAGTATTCGATAGCGCGGACAGGAAAACACTGGAGGCTTCTTCGACACTACGGTGTGCCTGAGAAAAAAGTTAACATCATACGGAATTCTTATGATGGATTCAACTGCAAAATCGTACATGATGGACAGCTAACAGACTCTTTCGAGGTGAAGACCGGTGTCAGGCAGGTTTGCTTACTCTCACCCTTTCTCTTTCACCTGGTCATCGACTGGATTATGAAGACGTCGACATCTGGAGGAAAGCACGATATCAACTGGACTTTTATGACGCAGCTGGACGATCTGGACTTCGCATATGACCAGGCTCTTCTATCTCACACGCAACAACAAATGCAAGAGAAGACGACCAGTGTAGCAGCAGCCTCTGCAGCAGTAGGTCTCAACATACATAAAGGAAAAAGCAAAATCCTCCGATGCAACACAACATGCACTAACCAAATCACTCTTGATGGAGATGTCTTGGAGGACATTAACACCTTTACATATCTTTGTACCACCATCGACCCTCAAGGTGAACGCAATGCAGATGTGAAGGCGCGGATCGGCAAAGCAAGGGCTGCGTTTCTACAATCGGAAAATATCTGGAACTCCAAACAACTTTCAACCAAAACCAAAATCAGGATTTTCAATACAAATGTCAACACAGTTCTACTGTATGGAGCGGAAACATGGAGAACTACGAAAGCCATCATCCAGAAGATACAAGTGTTTATTAACAGTTGTCCACGCAAAATACTTCGGATTCGTTGGCCAGACACGATCAGCAACAACGTGCTGTGGGAGAGAACAAACCAGATTCCAGTGGAGGAGGAAATCAGGAAGAAACAGTGGAAGTGGATAGGACACACATTGCGGAAAGCAGCTAACTGCGTCACGAGACAAGCCCTCACATGGAATCCTCAAGGCAAAAGGAAAAGAGGAAGGCCAAAGAATACATTACGCCGAGAAATAGAGAAAGATATGAGAGGAATGAACAAACATTGGACAGAACTGGAGAGGGAAGCCCAGGACAGAGTTGGTCGGAGAAAACTGGTGTGCGGCCTCTGCTCGATTGGGGGTAACAGGCGAAATTAAGTAAGTAAGTAAGTTATTCTATTATACTTTCTAAATATAAGAGAAATTGCTTTAACTAAAGAAATTTTTCGAATCGAACTTGTTCACTCATCATAATGCCCTTATTCACCAAGTTTTATTTATTTATTTTCGTTTGACTACATTGACTACATGTATTCAGAAAAACCAATAAAATTAAGTTACGATCATACAGTAACATTATTTTTAAAAAAAGGTATGTATATTTATTAAATGAACTCACTTAACAGGATTGTTTACTAAACAGGAGTTCATAGATGGATCATAATCCGGAGAAAAAACGGCCAATTGAGCCAATGGTAGGTTAGCTCCATTTGAAACATGAATTTTTTTCTGCTCACAACTTGGAATTTCACGAGTATTTCGATTAATTTTTGGAGCAGCTTCGTAAAATAGATTACCACGGGGCCACACATAAGTAATTAACTTATTATCACTTCTAGTGTGCGTTTTATGATTTGGATTATGAGATAAACTGTCAGATTTACACAAGTTATCTTCGATACGACGTAAATGATTTAAAACAACGGTAGCGTTTAAACGATTAGCAAGGAGGCCCAACGCCTGTAAACTTAGAACTGATAATGTGTTATGCTTATCAAAAACACCATGGCATATCTGTACAGAAAAATAACAAATTATACGATGGATAGTCCTTGAAATTTAAAAGTCAGATATAACAATAACAACGATAACATTGTACACGATTGAAAAAACCAGCGACAACAAAATTATCGAAAGAAAAAAACATTATTCATCATAACCTAGTGTTATCAAAAATCTAGAATTTCTGTTAATCAGGGTGAGAAAATAATCATATGTATAAGATTTCCAAACGACAAAAATCAGTGGATCAATCGTCGAAAAATCTAGACACCGATAATCAAATAGAAAAAAGTATACTACAAATTCAGATATAAAAAAGCAACAAAAAAAATGAGAATGTCCTACAGCGAGAAAAGAAACAAACAAAATAAAAACAAAAGATATTATAACATTCCGCAATAAATACGGTGACTAAGTAACTATCACGACAAATGTAAAGAACAACAAATTGAACAAAACACACTATAAAAATTCCAAACACAAATCACTCAACAACAAACAACAACTATAGCTGGAACTTAAACCCAAAACGCGTCTCACGTCCGGGAGCTATATCCCAGCATTCCATATAGCATAGTTGATCGGTACAACATTGTCCACGACGACAATGACTCGAACACATATGCACAAATAGGCACGCTCAACACTAAGTCTCCAGTACATCCAATCTTCTCAACTCAACCACACATCAGCGAAACAAATACAACCGATCAACAAGACTAATTGGTCGAACATCAAACACAACACAATCACCACATCACACCACACTAACATTCCAAACACAAATCACTCAACAACAAACAACAACTATAGCTGGAACTTAAACCCAAAACGCGTCTCACGTCCGGGAGCTATATCCCAGCATTCCATATAGCATAGTTGATCGGTACAACATTGTCCACGACGACAATGACTCGAATACATATACACAAATAGGCACGCTCAACACTAAGTCTCCAGTACATCCAATCTTCACAACTCAACCACACATCAGCGAAACAAATACAACCGATCAACAAGACTAATTGGTCGAACATCAAACACAACACAATCACCACATCACACCACACTAACATTCCAAACACAAATCACTCAACAACAAACAACAACTATAGCTGGAACTTAAACCCAAAACGCGTCTCACGTCCGGGAGCTATATCCCAGCATTCCATATAGCATAGTTGATCGGTACAACATTGTCCACGACGACAATGACTCGAACACATATGCACAAATAGGCACGCTCAACACTAAGTCTCCAGTACATCCAATCTTCACAACTCAACCACACATCAGCGAAACAAATACAACCGATCAACAAGACTAATTGGTCGAACATCAAACACAACACAATCACCACATCACACCACACTAACATTCCAAACACAAATCACTCAACAACAAACAACAACTATAGCTGGAACTTAAACCCAAAACGCGTCTCACGTCCGGGAGCTATATCCCAGCATTCCATATAGCATAGTTGATCGGTACAACATTGTCCACGACGACAATGACTCGAATACATATGCACAAATAGGCACGCTCAACACTAAGTCTCCAGTACATCCAATCTTCACAACTCAACCACACATCAGCGAAACAAATACAACCGATCAACAAGACTAATTGGTCGAACATCAAACACAACACAATCACCACATCACACCACACTAACATTCCAAACACAAATCACTCAACAACAAACAACAACTATAGCTGGAACTTAAACCCAAAACGCGTCTCACGTCCGGGAGCTATATCCCAGCATTCCATATAGCATAGTTGATCGGTACAACATTGTCCACGACGACAATGACTCGAACACATATGCACAAATAGGCACGCTCAACACTAAGTCTCCAGTACATCCAATCTTCACAACTCAACCACACATCAGCGAAACAAATACAACCGATCAACAAGACTAATTGGTCGAACATCAAACACAACACAATCACCACATCACACCACACTAACATTCCAAACACAAATCACTCAACAACAAACAACAACTATAGCTGGAACTTAAACCCAAAACGCGTCTCACGTCCGGGAGCTATATCCCAGCATTCCATATAGCATAGTTGATCGGTACAACATTGTCCACGACGACAATGACTCGAACACATATGCACAAATAGGCACGCTCAACACTAAGTCTCCAGTACATCCAATCTTCACAACTCAACCACACATCAGCGAAACAAATACAACCGATCAACAAGACTAATTGGTCGAACATCAAACACAACACAATCACCACATCACACCACACTAACATTCCAAACACAAATCACTCAACAACAAACAACAACTATAGCTGGAACTTAAACCCAAAACGCGTCTCACGTCCGGGAGCTATATCCCAGCATTCCATATAGCATAGTTGATCGGTACAACATTGTCCACGACGACAATGACTCGAATACATATACACAAATAGGCACGCTCAACACTAAGTCTCCAGTACATCCAATCTTCACAACTCAACCACACATCAGCGAAACAAATACAACCGATCAACAAGACTAATTGGTCGAACATCAAACACAACACAATCACCACATCACACCACACTAACATTCCAAACACAAATCACTCAACAACAAACAACAACTATAGCTGGAACTTAAACCCAAAACGCGTCTCACGTCCGGGAGCTATATCCCAGCATTCCATATAGCATAGTTGATCGGTACAACATTGTCCACGACGACAATGACTCGAACACATATGCACAAATAGGCACGCTCAACACTAAGTCTCCAGTACATCCAATCTTCACAACTCAACCACACATCAGCGAAACAAATACAACCGATCAACAAGACTAATTGGTCGAACATCAAACACAACACAATCACCACATCACACCACACTAACATTCCAAACACAAATCACTCAACAACAAACAACAACTATAGCTGGAACTTAAACCCAAAACGCGTCTCACGTCCGGGAGCTATATCCCAGCATTCCATATAGCATAGTTGATCGGTACAACATTGTCCACGACGACAATGACTCGAACACATATGCACAAATAGGCACGCTCAACACTAAGTCTCCAGTACATCCAATCTTCACAACTCAACCACACATCAGCGAAACAAATACAACCGATCAACAAGACTAATTGGTCGAACATCAAACACAACACAATCACCACATCACACCACACTAACATTCCAAACACAAATCACTCAACAACAAACAACAACTATAGCTGGAACTTAAACCCAAAACGCGTCTCACGTCCGGGAGCTATATCCCAGCATTCCATATAGCATAGTTGATCGGTACAACATTGTCCACGACGACAATGACTCGAACACATATGCACAAATAGGCACGCTCAACACTAAGTCTCCAGTACATCCAATCTTCACAACTCAACCACACATCAGCGAAACAAATACAACCGATCAACAAGACTAATTGGTCGAACATCAAACACAACACAATCACCACATCACACCACACTAACATTCCAAACACAAATCACTCAACAACAAACAACAACTATAGCTGGAACTTAAACCCAAAACGCGTCTCACGTCCGGGAGCTATATCCCAGCATTCCATATAGCATAGTTGATCGGTACAACATTGTCCACGACGACAATGACTCGAACACATATGCACAAATAGGCACGCTCAACACTAAGTCTCCAGTACATCCAATCTTCACAACTCAACCACACATCAGCGAAACAAATACAACCGATCAACAAGACTAATTGGTCGAACATCAAACACAACACAATCACCACATCACACCACACTAACATTCCAAACACAAATCACTCAACAACAAACAACAACTATAGCTGGAACTTAAACCCAAAACGCGTCTCACGTCCGGGAGCTATATCCCAGCATTCCATATAGCATAGTTGATCGGTACAACATTGTCCACGACGACAATGACTCGAACACATATGCACAAATAGGCACGCTCAACACTAAGTCTCCAGTACATCCAATCTTCACAACTCAACCACACATCAGCGAAACAAATACAACCGATCAACAAGACTAATTGGTCGAACATCAAACACAACACAATCACCACATCACACCACACTAACATTCCAAACACAAATCACTCAACAACAAACAACAACTATAGCTGGAACTTAAACCCAAAACGCGTCTCACGTCCGGGAGCTATATCCCAGCATTCCATATAGCATAGTTGATCGGTACAACATTGTCCACGACGACAATGACTCGAACACATATGCACAAATAGGCACGCTCAACACTAAGTCTCCAGTACATCCAATCTTCACAACTCAACCACACATCAGCGAAACAAATACAACCGATCAACAAGACTAATTGGTCGAACATCAAACACAACACAATCACCACATCACACCACACTAACATTCCAAACACAAATCACTCAACAACAAACAACAACTATAGCTGGAACTTAAACCCAAAACGCGTCTCACGTCCGGGAGCTATATCCCAGCATTCCATATAGCATAGTTGATCGGTACAACATTGTCCACGACGACAATGACTCGAACACATATGCACAAATAGGCACGCTCAACACTAAGTCTCCAGTACATCCAATCTTCACAACTCAACCACACATCAGCGAAACAAATACAACCGATCAACAAGACTAATTGGTCGAACATCAAACACAACACAATCACCACATCACACCACACTAACATTCCAAACACAAATCACTCAACAACAAACAACAACTATAGCTGGAACTTAAACCCAAAACGCGTCTCACGTCCGGGAGCTATATCCCAGCATTCCATATAGCATAGTTGATCGGTACAACATTGTCCACGACGACAATGACTCGAACACATATGCACAAATAGGCACGCTCAACACTAAGTCTCCAGTACATCCAATCTTCACAACTCAACCACACATCAGCGAAACAAATACAACCGATCAACAAGACTAATTGGTCGAACATCAAACACAACACAATCACCACATCACACCACACTAACATTCCAAACACA